GTGGTTCTGCACCTTTTAGTAACAAGGGACCATTTGTCAAAACCACCACTTACGATTTGCATCCCTCTCCCCCTAGAATTTGTAAATTACTCAATGTCTTTTTTATGTAACATTTTTTACTATGACTCCTTCCACTTCGGGTGTTTCCAGACGGAACACCGGTAAATAGCCACTGGTCTAGAGTCAAAACGGTAAGCACTTGCCTTGCATCAGTTTGCCTAAGCTCGCGTTGGGTTAAGCTCGGCTTACAAGTTTTGGCGTTTGATTACAACACTTACATAATAGTAGTGATATACCTAATAGAAATAATAATAAATCAAATGCTATAAAACATTTTATTTTTACGATATAAAGCATTACATTAAAAAGTAAAAATGTATAATAAAAATCGTAAGTATAAAAATGTAAAATACATCTAAAAAGGCACGGGAGTGATATAACATTATAATACTAAAAGTAAAGCGATATGATGACTACATTTTATGTTAAGGCAAAGGTTTAAGAAGTATTTGCTTGTCATGCAGATTTCGCCTCGTCATGACCGCTTGGCAGTTTACAAGCAAAGTAAATACAGAGTAGCCGCTCATTAATGACGAATGAAACGCGTGCATACGCGAATACTGGACTCACAGTAATACCAGTTCCGGAAATCTCACCCTAAAATAGGGACGATGACGGGGAAAAGTAAGCGAAATATTATTTAGTCCTTTCAATTAGATAATTAAAAAATAATGGCAAATTATTTTTTCTTTTGTCAATCAATCAAAATATTACAATGATAAGCGCGTTTAAGTTTACTAGTGCTCGTGACGTCACTTCTAAGTAAAAATTGTAACAAGACGTGACGTGATGCGACATTTCAAATCAAAATATCTTTGTAATGTTTTGATTATGTGAATTAAATAAAAAGGCTTTCTCCACATTACAAGGAAAAGGCTCTTTATGGAGTTCAGTCAGAATAAAGGTCAGCGCACATATATCGAAAACGATCACGGAATGACGGATAGACTCGTTTATGGCTACAGCCGTCAAAGGTTGGACAAACCTGTTTTTAATAACAAGGTGTGTAAAAAAGAGACGTTGGGAGTCAACCATTAATTACATTCGCATGATATTTTTAATACTTTTTACCTCCCCCCCTCCGTGGTAAGTACACATGAGTGGTATTTCCTCCCTCATTCGATTATTTCTTAATTTTTCCGATTCAATTACCACCTTAAGAATCTTAATTAATTAATGGGCGATTCCTAAGCGGATGGACAGCTAGGCTTAACGAGTTGACTGATAAGTAGTCGTAAGTAGACCAATCTTTTATTGGCTGATAAGAAGTCATTTCTAAAATTACATTTAAAACAATGGAGATTCTAATATAATGGCAACTTTTTGTACAAGCAACTCATTTGGCACACGGAGACTCATTTTTGATACAATGGCCATTGTTGTACATTTTAAAAATAAATCTTACTTAAATCACTAAAACATCGAAAATATAAAAGACTTAGTAAGAAGGACGGACCCAATAAATAAAATGATATTTAATTTTTCAATTAATTTAAGATTTATGAATAATTTGTTCATTAGTATTAATTTAATTGTTAAGAAATATATTTGTTCAGCCTATGACTAAGATTTTATGACAAATCTTCATTAAATAGTAAGTAAGGCATTAAAATTTCGTTGAATGACATTACATTAATATCATTTTCCCATTAAAACTTAATACATAAATATTCGTAAAGAATCTTAGTGTTAAAGCTTAAAAATAAAGAAACTAAAATCTAAAGGGTCTTAATTAAAAATCTTAAATATCCGAAATTGTGATATGAATGTTTGATTAAATTAAAGTGACACTTTATACGTTTTGTATTCATGGTATTAATTCAAAGTACATAAACATTGTTCAATAATTTTACAAATTAAAATTAGCTATTTTTCAGCAATTTTCTACCGACTATAAATTTATTATACATCAGCCAAATATTAAAGTTGTTTTGTAGGTTTTTACTTTCAATTATTGATTTAAAAATATACAATTTTCTATTTAAACCAATTTAATACATATTTAAAAGATATTGTAACTTAAATACATAATTAAATTGAAAACTGCCAACTACATTTTTATTAATAATAAATAAGAATCAAAATAATTTCAAATAAAATAATGTATATAATTAAAAAGAAACCATAGTCAATTATTAACGTTATTAAATTATCGAGTAAAACAAGTCACCGGGTTTAACTCTGTCATAATTCTTTAAACCTACAATTAAATTAGTCAACAGTGTATCCTTGTCATACTCTTATCTATACCGAATGAAAAGGAGAGACTATTGCCAAAATTTAGTCTTAGATTTGGGGAACCGCGCTAGAATCAGACCAATAGTCACATGTATACCAAAAGGTTGTTAGTAATAAATATCTTTATTTTACGAAATAGACAATAACAGTTAAAGGCTTAAATCTACACTATCACCTTTGTAAAAAATCGATGATCGGCTCGACTCTGAGGGGTTTTTTCAAAATTCTATACATCGTGAACATCGTCGTGTCGTGTCCTTACTCTATGGCATTAAAAATTATGTACAATGCGACCAAAATCATGTGGCGCGTAGCCGAAATCGGTACTTATTTTAGGAAGGTATAAATAAGCCTAGTAGGATTAAAAGTGGATTACCACAGCTTGCTCATGAGCATGACGCACAATCAATTGATATTGATATTTTCTATAATTCTGTTAAATATTTCCAAAATAATGTAAAAAAATATTAGATTGGACGTAGGTATTTGCTGTAAATGTTTATAAGTTTAATGTTTAATATTGAAAAGTAATGAAATCAACTTTCATTACTTTTCAATATTTCCTGACATTTAACCGAATAACTTTTTTTTGTAATTTTAATGTAATTTTTATCTCTCTGTTTTTTTTTTTATATTTTACTACGAATTATTTCACATCAATCTAAAATTATTACTTAGTGTGATTTTGTTTTGCGATATTTTTACTTAAGATGTGCTATTGTGTAACATCTTTAATTAAGATTGCACTTGGCTTGCTTCCACAATGTTTGTAAGATACTTTAACAACAATCACGATATATCGAAATGAGAGTACAGGCGCTGTTATTCCTGAATAAATCGATAGTATGCACCTCTTTCTTTCCTTAAAAATGTTTTGTAACTAATATAATCAATGAACTTTCTACCACCTCAATAAGGTCCAAAATTGCCAATTTAATGTGTCCTATATTTGCAAAGTTAAACAAAATACCTTAATACTGTTCCTACGCTCATTATGGAAACATTAAATTAAATATCGATTAAATACCCTAGATACACCACGTGCGCTCAAAATGTGTCCCAATCAAGAAGTGCTTGAACACCACTCAGCACTTCTTGGTTCACAGTCACGCGCGGACTGTAGAAAAGTCAATTAGCCGCAGGACTCCGTGAACAAACGCGGAAAAAATACTTATAGTATGTAAAGTGTCGTTTTTTCGACGGGTATCTAATCAATGTTTGTTAATTTAACGCATTTGAAGCAAATTTTGTTGTAATGCTTACTATAACCTCATTTAATATAAAATATTTGTGATATTCAAATGCATGGTCGGTAATATAGCTGTCTCTTTTCCTCGCGGTCCGTACCTGCTATATTTCTAATAGCGCATAGACTCAAAGAAATAAGGTCCATATTCTTCCGCATATAGCAATAAGCCTTAAAATTTTACGATCTTGCATTTCGAACTGTCATAACTCTTACACAGACCTTTACACTAAGCATTAAAGGTGTCTTTCAAAGTTTAAATAATGCCTTATATTGTTTTTACTACGCGATCATATTACAGAGCTCCGTAGATCGTCTTTTGGACAGGTTTCGGGCACCATTTTGTTCGTGTTGGTGTATCTAGGGTATTTAATATTGTTGCGTTCACCTTAAAAATATAATGTGATTTGTTTTTCTCTAAAACTTTAAATTACTGCACAATAAATGATTTAAGATTCGTCCACGCTGTGTTTTTTCGTGATGACGGATACGCAAAATAAACAAGATGCAGTGATTTTATTTATAAATTTCAATTATAATTAAGCAAATTAAAATACAGAAATTACATGGCTGTTTATTTTGGTCATGGATTCCATTGCCTTCATACAAGTATTTTTCAAACCATTAAAACAATGTTCTTTAAGTAACCTTTAGAAAGAAAGAGATGCAAGTATACACTCCGGCAAACTTCCTGAGCAACGACCATAGACAAGGAAGCCTGCGCAGAAGCAATTTCACAAACAAAAACTTCTACTGCGCAAGTTTATTTGTCTGTAGTTTTGCTCAAGAAGTTTGCCAATACTATATTGTATGTGCATTTTAAATAAATTTCAGAAACAGCATTTCGAGCGCAAATTGTAATCTACCTATAGGAAAGGTTTATAAAAATATGGCGTTATTGTACGAGTATAGGTAGAAAAATATTTATCAACATTAATACTAACTTGTTAAAAAATTGCTAAAACTAACGGAAGAGTCAATTTTCAATAAGGTACACTATAAAATATCTATTGATATTTCATCACCATTATCACTTTAGTTAGGTATTTCTTGATATGGCATAGAAGTAGAAATTTGCATATACATACCAACGTAACAAATTTTCACGTTAATTCTCCATACATGTTTAAATGTTTTATTGCCAAGAAACTGAATCAAATAACAATTGGTCTTGAGAGCTTAAATAATTAGTATTTGCAATTTTAAATAATGCGATATATGTATAAAAAATATGTATATCTGATTTATTGGAACGGTTTTTATGTAAACATATTGATTTGCAAAGATTAACACGACTTTCCTTGTGAGACATTCTAGATTTCATAAAAAAAATCATAGATCAATTTCCGAATTTTTATGATAAAATTGCTGTCGGATTATATTTTGGCAGTGATTATGTCCAATAAAGTGACAAACATTAGAAATTAAAGTAAGAGTTACCACTTGTTAAAGGCGGTTAAAGAGATTGCGCGTCAACTTCTTCGCCATAATCGAAATCGTCGTAGGTTAAATCTTCGTCGAGAGCATTGTCTGTGGTAGCCTTGCCACCCGGGCATGCTAAGCACCTGTAACCGAAATATTGATCCAGTTAGTCGAACTTCAATTAAGGCAAAAAAAAAAACAGTTCAAAAGTTTTTAATCTCCCATGCGCATAGATACGGTGATGGATGTAAAAGATTTAAAGGGCGCTAGAAATAATATGAAGTGTTAAGATATAGGCGTTACGAAACCTTAACTTCAGCGAAAGTGTGATAAAGAAAACGCTCCACTATCTCGATTGCGTGAATAGAAAGAAAATTGTTACTAGAGAAAAAACCACTTGGTTTATTGCAGATCCACACCTAGCCTGAGTGGTATAGCTTCCAGTAAAAATGTTTAGGTTTAGAATAAAGAAACTTTATAAATTAATGTTATAAATCTAAAGAAAAGTTAACTAGAAAACAAATCCACACGGACCAGGCAGAGCGGGCTCGAACCCGCACCCTTCGCTATCCGGGCGAATAATGCACTGACCATTATGCTACCGCGACCCTGACGGCCGTGTCGAATTTTGCTCTAGCCTTAGGCTGCAAGGCAGCGCCATGTCTTCGCATTGTCGGTAACCCACAATGTCAAATGAATACCTTTACAAGTATTAAACATTTGAAAGAAGAAATTGCAATTATAGTTATGCCCGGATACCGAAGGGTGCGGGTTCGAGTCCCGTCTGCTGCCTGGTCCGCGTGGTTTTTTCTTTCAAGTAAACTTTTCTTTAGATATAAACATCTAGCAGTTAAAAGCTATAAAATAAAAAACATAATTAATGTAATGTTAAAATAATACCCTATAACCAACACCATTTCCGTTTGAGTATTAACCAGTTGACGATCTTATGTTAAACTATTAATTAATAATATTGGACATAAATATTATTAATGGCCGCCACCTGGTGGTAATTTGATACGCCAAAGTGTGACGCTATGCTAATGATATCTTCTGAGACGATGGCGTCCTTGCCAGAATAGATAGTTTAAGGAAATAACTAATTCAATGTAAAGAAAATATTACTAGAAAAAATTCCACGCGGACCAGGGGGCCAATCGCCTAACTGGATTGCTTTGGAAAACGCTATCGCTTACGATTTCATTTTGTTATTTCTAGCCCCCTGAGGTTTTCAAATGCCTCGCGCTCTTTTTTTTTCTTTTGCATTGGTAATAACAATGTTAAAGAAAATGAGCGTGAGGTATTTCGGCGGTTAGAAATAACAAAATGAAATCGTAAGCGATAGCGTTTTCCAAAGCAATCTGGTTAGGCGATTGGCCCACAGGCCGCAGACTTATATGGTCAGTGCATTCGCCCGGATAGCGAAGGGAGCGGGTTCGAGTCCCGTCAGCTGCTTGGTCCGCGTGGAATTTTTCTAGTAATATTTTCATTATATTTAAACAATAAGCAGTTACCTACATGCTTAAAAAATAAAATTACAACTAATTCAAATTAATACCTTTATTTGCTAATCAAGTGTACAAATGATCTTAAAAACTAATTACAGTCATCACAAAATAATAGGCCTGTTTTGACATTTGTAACTGAGTTATGTTTTAATTTTTTAAGCATTTAACTGCTAGATGTTTCAATCTAAAGTAAAGTTTTTCCAGAAAAAAAATCCACGCGTACCAGGCCCTGTCGGCCGTGTCGAATTTGTAACTGATGTAACCATACGACTCGGTACACGATCCTCACGATAAATCTTGTATGGGTATTTGATCAAGATTCAAGCTTGTATGAGTATTTGATTATGTATTGTAAACTGCATTAATTTAAGTTCTGATTCGAAAATTAGTTATGTAGTGAATAAGGATACTATTATTTAAAGAATAAGGACATATAGTTCTTAATGATAATTATAAAGTTAATTAATTTTACTAAATCTTTTAAAGATTCTGTGAAATGGTGGATTTTGTATGTAAAAAATATACATTTAATGGTTTGAAACATAAGATAAAAAGTTTCCGGAAACATATTCTATAGTACGACCATCATTAATAATATACAAATTTTATACCAAAACTGCACGTCTCTAATGACAACGGAGAACAATAATTATTTTTTTCAAGTTTACAACTTATTTCGAATATGAAACTTAATGGACGCAAAAATGTCAAAATGGACCTTGTAATTTGTGACGACATTAATGAACTAATTAATAATCAAACTTAAAATTTTCTTATCTTTAATATCGATATGCAATGCTAGCTTATACAGCCTTTTCGTTTCGGTGTTAAAAGTAAGTTACACTGAACATTGATAGAAAATGTCAGTTTTCATTGATGCACATAAACTATAAATCAATTCATTTTACAGTGCCTTGAGTGCCACCACACCAATTCTAGGAATTAGCAAGCAGGAGCGATTTGAAGTATAATGAGTAATCAACGCTCTGTTTTGGTCCAGCAGTGGCTTGGAGGAGACAATATATTCTTCCGGACACATATATCGGCCCATCGCCCATTTTAAGTACTGACGGGCCCTAACTAAAAAAAATTACACTAAGCAAAAAGTTTTACGCAGTTCGAAAGCTGATTTATCCAACCATAAACCATCCTTTTAGTTTTTTTAACATATTATTATTACGCAACCTAACACATAATTTTGCTACAGACAGTTAAAACTTATAACACAAGGTGGGCCGATAGATGTGTCCGAAAGTGTGGTCACAAATAAAAGCGTGAGAAATTATTTTAACTTGTACCGACCTACTAAAGGACGCAAAGAACTATGAAATGTTTTACGTTGTTGTGCTTCAACACAAAATATTCATGTATTACTATAGGAAATTATTCGAGATAATGCTTTAATGAATGACTCAATTCTAATGAAATACGGCGAACTGTATTTCAATATATTCATTGTGCATAGCTCAAAGTAATAATATTCATATTAATTGTATGTGTAAATTATGTACTCAGTAGTATATTTGCTATAAAACACTTATTATTAATACTTAATCGTATCAATTAATCGATGTCAGAGAAGCTATTGTTGAATGTGATCGCCACTTAAGGAGATCGGTGTTCACTTTTCACTGAGGAAATAACTTTTTCATCTAAGTTATATGAATGTAAAGTAGACATTTATCTGATTAAAGTATATTTCAATTAAGTCTGCGTTGCAGCAGTGAGTTCATACAAAAAAACTAAACGGCTGGACTTGATACGGTAACGAGCCCTTTCCGAGTTGATATGTCTACTACAGCCCTTAGTGAATGTGTCATTCGATTTATTTGTTAATACTAATAATCGTTTGACTACTTTTATTACATTCGTAAATTTTGATGTCGCCCCTCTAAAAGCCTTTTTACATGGCGGGCGTGTATTTATTTCAATATTATGACTTTTAGTTTCATATCATATTGTTTATATCGCCTTTTGTCAACTTTGAAATCGAGTCTTACTACATTAGTAAAAATTCATCCATAGGATTAATCCGCAATCGGGGGCACGTTATGACATGGTAATTTGTAGCCCAGTCCCCGTAGCATGAGCACCACAAGTTACATTATACTATCTATATATATAAAAAACGTGGTATACGTTTTTTATCGCGTCTATCTGTCAAACTCCACAGTAATTTGACAATTGAGCGTGATAAAAACGCGTTTTATATCATATCGCGGTGCTCATGCTAGGGGGGCAGGAATGATTTATCATGTTTGATCTTTCTATATAAATTACCTGCTTTCTTTGATTCCGTAGTACAAACACTTCTCGCCTACACATTCACAGCAACCGTCATGGAACCATCTGAAATATAAAATTACACATATATAATAAAACTTATTACAATTAAAAAAATATTCGCATCTACGGCGCACATGGTTCAGAACTTCAGACTTTCTTCGTTTAAAAAATATAACAGTTTAATTTGGCCAATACGCCCGAAATTGTTTAAACTATTAATATGATCTAACGAAACTTACTTAAGACGAAATTAATCAATTGTTTATAAACTTAAACCTTCAAACAACTACCCTTTACGCCTTAGCACACTGACGCGGCGAAATGGGGTAGCAAAAATTATATCACGAACTATGCTGCATCTAGCTCTCTGTATTTGATTGAATAGTATCGATGTTACTCGTGAACCTCGTTTCGCTGTTGGGAGAGATGCAATTACAGGAAATCCTTAGAACAATAATGTACATGTAAATTATAATTCTATTAGGAAATCGCAAACAGATAGATTGAGATGCGACATACGCGATATAAATTCATAGTATAAGACAAATTACCTCAATTTTCAAATTTTCGCCGCGTCAGTGTGCTTAACGTGTTAAGAAACTTAATTTAAACGCCAATCATGGCTATGGCTCATTTTAACTCTAAGATGGAATAAAAAAGTAAGAATTTTGGTGCAAGTGGCACTTAGATTTGTTTTCCTTTCTTCCAGCCTAACCCGTGCTGGATATTTATTTTGGAGTAAAAATGAAGATCAACCGTGCAAGCTGCTTAATGAGCAACTATGATCTTATGTGTTGCATTATAGCGGAACATCTGTTGCACGACATGCATTGCGACATGTACCCGACTTCAGCATGATGAAGTCGCGTTTCATCGCCTCCGAGTCCGTGATCACTATTTTTTTTTATAGGTCGGTCCGACTAATGATTCCACCCCACCTGATGTTAAGTGATGGTAAAGTCCAGACGTGAAGATAGCTGGTACAGCAGTTCTACCTGCCACACCAGCCATCATCACCTTGCCGGATTGCATGTTGCTTCCTCACGCCCCTTACAAAGGATCCCAGATCCCAAGGCTGTAAGGAGGGAACACGTGAGCAGGCAGGGAATACTGACCTAATGCTTTTGTCGCCCATAGAGCGGCAGAAGGCACGACATACACTGTGACATGTACGCGACTGGGCAGTTGAGCACGACAACAGCGCGGTTCACCGGTTAATCCGTGATGACCAATACTAACCTTATGCTGTTGGCACCCATGGAGCGGCAGGAGGCGCGGCATTTGTCGCACGACATGCACTGCGACATGTACGCCACCGTGCAGTTGAGCGTGACTATGTCGCGATTCACCGGCTCCGAGTTTGACTCCACGCTCTCTGCAATAATAGCGGAATGCTTAAATTAAAAATGCCACATATGAATGAACATGCATTGAAATTGAGAACGTCTCGAAGAAGTGAACTGATTTGTTTTGAAAAATCCATCACAGTTCACAGATTGGTCAGGTTATGAAGAGTTGTGTTCACGATTTCGAAAACCATTTATCGACTAACCGATCCTATAAAAAATACACTTTTATGATTCTTACCGATAAACTACAGACCAAAAAAAAGTTTTACCAACTCATCGTTACTGTTTCCTACAGTTCAGGAAGAAACACAGCAGGTAGGTACTTCTAACAGTTCTAAAATAGAATAGACAATCTCCGTATTTGAGAAACGAGTGCGGTGCATTTTTGCATAGCTGAGCAAGTTTAGAATACTCCAGACATTTACTTTTACGCGCAGTTAGTAAAACCATCTATTGACAGGAGTACAAGATAGTTTTTGAAAATTTTCGCTTTTCTTGAGATTCAAGCCATTGACGATGTCCTATTATTATTTATTTCGATATTATTGTCTAATGCGAGATTTCATCCTAATCCTAACTAATATTATAAAGGTCAGTGTTTGTTTGTTACGCTTTCACACCTAAAATGACTGAACGGATTTGGATGCCATTTGGTACGCATATAGTTTATGACCTGGATTGAGACATAGGATACTTTTTCTCGCGGAAAAATGTTTGGTTCCTAAGGGTTTTCAAAAAACAAAAGTTAACGCCGACAAAGTGGCAAGCTACGGCTAGTAGGTAGTTTAATTAAATTATGGTAAGACAAATAAGGCATAGCGGATATTCATAATGTCCGTCTGGGGAGTAATATCTACCACATAGAAGACAACTGTGAAATAACAATACGTTTTGGTTGTGTCGTCTTTCTGTCGGTGAATAAAGGTACTGTCCCACGATATGTATTGTCGCGGACGAGGCCGTGGCGCGCAGGGTTGCCAAACGTATGAGAACTCTAACGTTATAGATTTAGCAGTCGGCCTTAGGGTTAGGGGATTGGTTTCAGGCAGACAAGCGGAAAATGGTTAAAGCAGCACATTTCCACTCCATTGATACTTAATAACATTAGTTGGGGTGATGTAATTTGATTCGTTTTGTAGGATTACACCCAGTATGTAGGTTATGTAGGATAACAGATTGCTGCGATTCAAGCGTTAGCATCTGTTCTGTTTTCTAGCAACTCTTTTATTTATTTAATATTTAAAATAAAATGTATTCCTAAAGCAAATGTTTCTTCAATGTATTTTTATATTACCCAGGCAGCGGGTAATTAAAAGCACTGGCAAGTGTATATATGTGTCAGAAGCTAAATCTCTTTCACTGTATGATATAAAAGGGATCACAGAAAAGAGTAAAAGTTACATTAATTATGCCAGCAGGCATTGTCGCTTGCTACCTTATGCCTTGTTACACCACCTGAGGTGACGTCAAATACCTATGTAATGTTGAAACTTAAAAGCCCCAAAATTAATTTCCAGCCAGTCTTAACAACATTCAATTCTAATAAACGACTGCCTGGTGGCGGTATCGTATCGGAACATGTAATGCGATATGCGTATGCTAACTAATAGCACAAATTAATGACGTACGTATATTTATATCTACTACTTATTACGCAACTGCGAATTTCTCGGTAACTAGGAGAATTGTTTATTAATGCATTATACACCAGCTTTTGTTAGATTTCAATTGCGATAGTTGACTAAAATTTACTTCTACCTAGCTATTCAAGTAAGTAGTATACGTATTATGTTTTGAGAAAATGGGGCAGATAAATAGTCGTCATTACAGTTTTGAACTCAAACCCCAAGTATAAAATAAATAAAAATAGTAGTTATACCGTTATTTATGAATAATGTTATCGAGTACTCGGGATTTATTACAAAGATTTGAATCCTTGATATAATAAGGCAATTAAGCAAAACTAATTTTAAGATCTGGAAAATGTCAAATCAGTTTTGGAAAGAGATCTATGACAGGTACCTCTACATTGTATACAAGAAAAAATATTCTTGGGAACAACTGTTTACGCTTTTGTCGAGATCGAGAATAAGTTGCTGCAGTATTCCATTTAAATAATGTCAATTATTAGTCACAAAGCAGTAACCCGCCGATATTTTAGATCCCAGAAGGGGGCAGGCAGGTAAGCATTCCGAGATAATGACTCACTCAATGTCGCCGCGGGATGCCTCTTAAAAGCTTAAAACACCTGTGTGAGGTCTCAGTTTCGACGCCGCGTTATCAAAAATTAACAAAAGAACTTTCGTCCTTTCATGATTTCTGTAGGTAACGGTAATAAGATAAGAAGTAATTCGTAACTGTTTTTGGTTGCATGGCAACAAAGATTAAGTGGTAATAGAGTAACATTTGGAATGAACACAAACAAATTCTCAATGCATAGGAATAGAAAAAAAAACAGTGTTTAAGCAAGATATAAGATAACAGTATTGTAACGGCATTAAAGAACTAGAGAGCAAATTGTAGAAAACTTCCACTTTTGTGACGAGGACTAAAGAACTTATATAAATATTTTGACTTAAAGGCGTCACAGCACAGTTTGGCGCCCGCATACTTTTTGTAGGAATCGTCGCTCTATAGTTCTTGCAGTATCGACTGTTTCCCAAATTCATACTCGTAAAGGGACACTCGGTCCAGGCATCAGACGGGATACGAACCAGCATCTTCCGTTATCCTAAGAAATTCGACACGACCATTAAGGTCTCGGTAGCATAATTAGCGTTCCCCCGAATAGCGGAAAATGCGGGTTCGAATCGAATCAAGTCTGATTTAAAAAAAACTTTAGATTTAAACATTGTAACAGTTAAATGCCTAAAAATCAAATTTAACATGATAGATCTAGCTAAAATATATATTTTTAAAGATTTTATGCTTTTTTATAATTGGGTGGCAAAAGGAAGCCAAATGTCAAAAGAATGGCGTTACACAGGAATAAGACAATGATTATTTTGCATGTAATAGTTCTAGTTCATAAATATGATTATGGTTATGAGAGGATATATATGGTCTTTATGAGAAAAAAATATAGGATATATAGAACTGTTAACTTTGTAATGGAGCAAGAAAGAAACACAATGCTAATAATTTGTTAATCTATACTTATAATTTCTAAATAAAGTTGTGATTATTCGTGCATGTATTTTTACTAACGATTAACACAATTAGAAAATGACTCTTGAAATTCTTACTAAAAATTCAATAAATAATTGATGAATGTTAATAATAGAAATCAGAATTCACATACCACTTTGTCAACATTAATGTTGGTTGGTGTTGGGAGTAATTAAAAAGTGTTGTCTTATAAGTATATATTGCCATGAGTGAAATAAGAAACAACTTTTTTTTCACTTTTGAAGTGATTTAGTGCATTATCAACACTTTTTTATAATTATCACAGTTTAAGAGAAAACTTCAGAAACTCTATTATTAATTTTATAAAATTATTGAGAATGTGAATAATATAGTTTGACCCCATATCTTTTACAGAGTAGAAGTAGCAAAGGTGCATTAACTAGCATTATTATGAATTACAGTTATTTTGAATTTTTTTATAGATAAGTTTGCCATAGCTATAATCTTATTGTTTAATATCATCATTATCACTGGCCTATTAATGTCCCCACTGTTGGGGTACAGGCCTTCTCTATGAATGAAATAAGGAGATTCGGCTGTGACCCACCAAGTCAGCCCAGTGTGGATTGGTAGGTGCTACCTGTTAATGCAGTTAGGATTAATGGCTTAACATGCTTTCCCAAGCATGGAGGAGCTCAAGATAATATGTTTTTAGTCACTCATCCAATGACCAACCATTGCGAAAGTAGCTTAACTTCTATGCATTTAACACCTGCGCCAATGGGCTGCTCACTGTTTAATGCTATTATTTTCTAATTGGTCAAAATAAAATAAAAAGGTAAATATTAAAGAAAAATTATTTACTTACGCAGATGATATACCACTTGCTTCTCTGGGGTGGGACGATATGCAGACAAGTCAATGTCAACAGGATATGTGATAGACAGCCATCGCTCTTGTGGATCTGCATCGCTAGTCAAAGCGGAGAATAAGCCTGGCACTCCATCAGCAAGTTCTTCTACGTATGAAGACTTTGACAGCTCAGTTTGTGTGTCATTGGGTTTTGGACACATATCTGGGAGAACCAAAAAAACTTCATTATTCATTTGGACACAGAAAAAACTCAATGTAAGTTAGTAATATAAAAACATGACATCATGTTTCTAAGGATTACATACAAAAAATCTATTTCTAGAGATGTATTACTTAAGTTATTGTATTTTTTTACAGCAAGAAAATAAGGTATACTCACCAACGCAACTGCAACATTCACTATACAAGTAACTTAGGCAGTTGAAGCAGTCTTTGCAGCACGAACAGTCTTTCAAATCGCACTTACAAGATCCAGTCAACATACATTTGGAGACTACACTTGCACATATAGCTTCATTACAAGCGTAGATTATAGGCACCACACATATGAACGCCACGACCAAATACAATTTATAAGCCATTGCCAAAAACAACACGTATGTAGTCTACAAGTAACAGAGGATCAACAAGTCTTGAGAAATAAACAAATCGAGTGAGAAACTAAACTATATAACTGGCGCACTTGAGCTATTTCACAGTTTAGCAAATTCTTTGTATTATCTTTTTAACATTATAAGAATTGAACTTTATCAAACACTTGTTGAAAACTGTTTAGTATTTTACAGTAATAAATAAAAACTAAGAACACAAAAGTATCAACTCGCACTTCGCAAATCTCATGAAAGAATGATTGTTGAATGAAGACAGAATGGTGGATTGATTGAATTGAAATCATTTTGAAGCATAGACTATAGAGCGATTAAAGAATGATCATCAACACAAGTATCGATTCTGGCATGATTCTCTAAAGCTAAACTTAAATTTGACAACAGTGTATCCTTGTCTTTCTCTATATAGAATAAAAAGGACAGACTAATATTAAATTTAGTTTTAAGTTTAGAGAATGCTGCCAGAATCGACACCACAGATTGTCAATTGTACAAAGAGACCGGAAGTTAACATACAATGTTGCCAGTCCAATTCACACACTATCTTCCATACACTTTCAAAACAAAGTGATGTAATAAGCGTGGGAGTTTGTAGCTCGATTTTACAGAAATTTAGCGTGGGTATTCAAAATTAAAAAAAAAATGTTAAAGTCAATAAACGTAAATTCTTAATAAATCAATATTTATTATTTTTATATATAAAAACAAAGAAAAGAAAGTGAATTAATTATTGAGTCTGATTCTGGTAGGATACCAGTATAGAAACCTAAAACTATTTTTAAAATTATTATTATCATGTTCTAAGAATAAAAACTGCAAGTCGACATAGTGTCCACAGGTTGTGCAATGTATTCCCATATTAACCCATCACAACGCGCAACTAACAAACTCTCTCGGTAGTATTTAATTTGAATACCATCTGGGCACTCGCGCTTGTGGGGATAACCTGTAATACAGGCAACAGGATTACTAAGACTACGGTCCGTTTGTCTGTATCTCATGAGTGAATAGCTAGGCAGATACATGACATTTTTACAGAAATGATGTATTTCTGTTGCCGCAATAACAACAAATACTAAAAACATGCCATACCTACCACAACCGTGATTTTTGCCGTTTTTTGATCGATATTAAATAATAGTGTCTAATGTTGTTTAAATAAGTCCTTTAAGAGAGGTATGAAGAAGCAAATTTGCAGGCTGGCAAGGTGAGGACGGTTGGTGGGGCAGTTTATAACTGCTGTACCAGTTATCTTCGCGCCTGGACTTTATTACCACTTAACATCAGGTTGGGTAGAGTCAGTTTGCCTAAAAAGCTATTAACCCTTCGTGCACGTGTCTGACTCGCACTTGGCCAGTTTTTGTTATAACTACTATGATGTCTGCAGGCGACGCCGACGCTACTTATTTCTATGAAGATACAATTCTGCAATGGGCTGCAGGCGACAACCGCAGGCGAAACTGCGGCTAGCGCCTGCGGCTGACCGTGCATTATATGCCGCCGCGGCATGTCGCCGCGCTCGGAATCAATTTCATACAGATTCATAGACACTAGTTGTGTCGCCTGTATTCTGCAGCTGCGGCATGTGATCTGCGGTTCTGATCGGACTTGTACCTTTAATCTCTATGAAATTAATTCCGAGCGCGGCGACATGCCTCGGCTGCATTTGCACGGTCAGCCGCAGTGTCGCCTGCGGTTGACGTCTGCAGCCCATTGCGGAATTGTGCCTTAAACCTAAACTTAAATTTGACAACAGTGTACCCTTGCCATTCTCTATACAAAAAAGAAAAGAAGAGACTGTTGTTAAATTTAGTTTTAAGTCAAGACAATCATGCCAGAATCGACACCAATAGCGCCTCATCTAGAGACCTGATTCGCGCTGTCAAGTGAAATGGCCAAGCTAAGCCAGTTCGTGAAGGACTGAATCTGAATGTGAATCTGAGTGCACTCTGGCCGTACCCGTACCCTTTGAAGCTTTGCTCTGAGATCTGATAATTTTTTTAAAGTGAGTCTTGGCAACATTTCACATGAAAATGTTTTTGGTCGCATTTCACTGCTTTTTGTAAGTGAATCTCTTAATTTTAGGTGACGAGGGATGGCGTTTTTTAAACCTAAAACACTCCTTTATTGTTGTTTGTGTGGTTCCTATAATTACTAGATTAGATACAGGGGTCTACCGCCTATTGGAATTGCTATGGCTATAGCTACGATTACGATGTAATTTTGTTATTTCTGACCGCCGAAGGCTTTCAAATATCTCATATATATATATATATATGAGATATTTGAAATATATATATATATATATATATATTCTCGCTCAATTTCTGTAATATTGTTACTACCAATACAAAAGAAAAAAAAGAGCCCGAGGCATTTAAAAACCTCCGGCGGCAGTTAGAATCACAAAATAAAATCGTAGGTAATAAGCCAGTAGAGTATAGCCTGAATAATCCCGGCAGATTTCAGCTTTCTAGGATTTCAGGAAGCCTACGTACTTTAAGAATTTTGATGATCAGTGAGTCAATGACAAAATCGGGGTTTTAAGATATCAATAAAATCTATTATTATATTATAAGAGCTATGTAATCGAAAATAATATCATATCCCGTGAATTTTGATTATCTGGTTTATTCCAAACCCAAGTTAGGAGGGTTCAAAAAAATTTACACGAAGCGCTCGAGAAAAGGTGCTATTATGCTTCGCTAGGCTAATTTTATAAAAATTAATACAGATTATTTTTAACTAGCGAAATAATTAATCAATGTTGTCCCTCAATTTGTTTTTAAATTGATAATATTTCGTAATATTTCATCACTATACCTATCACAGACTAGCTATAATCTAACCATGACGGCAAAATACTCAACTTATCCATTAAGATATAAGATAATATAAAATTAAATCAAACCACACGGGGTCTGATAATTTAAATTAATTATTATTTTTTATAATACTTGCACTTGATTGAAAAATACAGAGATCGTATTTGATAGCTAAAGTCATCATAAGTACTTACTATCCCAGTCCAAAGTTATTGTGATAATTGTAGTAATAGTGGAGCCCAAGCTGGGATTTTTAGATTAATTCGAGGCGGCATATTAACATAAGTGGGCAGGCAACCTTCCACCTTGAGAAGTACTCTCACCATAACTGAGCTTTCATGTATGGCCGAATGTCTAGGGCAGCAAGCAAAATTTAACAAACGGCCTTTACTTTTGGTCGCGTCCATATCGTCAGTCTTTGGAACAGAAGCTAATGGAGAGCTACGTAACGGTTCTGAGGACGAAAAATATTGATCTATCGGTTTGCTCGGAGCTTCGGAAGTTGTAGTTGTGATTGTGAGCTATCGGATAAGTTTTTACTATGCATTGTAAATAAATAAATGGTGGGTTTAAATATTCCTTATGTTACACTGTCCCCCACTTGACCCTATCTTACATCTTACTTCATACAAAAAAAAACAAAATAAACATAACAATTTGATGATTTTAATCTTTGAAGTAGATAATGAAAAATTTGGTATAAGATTATTTTGACGTACCTAATTATTAGGGTTCCATGTCCTTAGAAGCCCTTAGTTTTGCTATGTCTGAACTCGCGTTGCGTGTCAGATTAATCCAGGCATCCGCCGCCCTATAAGATATATATACAGATAAGAACCTACTAGAAAAATATAATTTAGCAAAAGGTATATTATTAAATTCACACTGACAAAGTGGTATAATAGGTAGGTAATGGTGCCAATACTGGCGTGGTTCTCTAAACTTAAAATTAAATTTAACATCAGTCTCTCTTTTTCATTTTGTATAGAGAATGGCAAGGATATACTGCTGTCAAATTTAAGTTTAGGTTTAGAGAATCATGCTAGAATCGAAACCAATAATAATTATTAATAACAATAATTATTTGATCCTTCTCCTCTGTCTGCCAGAGAAATGGTAATGAAAACGTTATCACAAATAACAATTTAACTAATGTTTGTCGGTAAATAAAAATTTTATTTCTAATTCTATTGAAAATTCCTTAAAGATATCAGTCAGCGTAATTGGAGTACTGGGTTACGGGTTCTGCTCTCATAAGCACAAGCACCCAGATGCTAATAATATTCCAATAAAATACTACCTTCATGTTCATCATCAATCTATTAATGTCTCCACTGCAAGGGCACAGGCCTTTTTTATTATATGGATGAAATAGGGAGAATGGGCCATGAAACACCACGCGGTGCGCATTGGTGGCAGCTAACTTCAGATGGGACTATATAACGGCTTACGGCAGCACGGAGGATCAACATAATAATCTTTTGGTCACCTATCCAATTCATTGCGAGTTTGCGATCGCAGACCGAACGCGCTTACTACTCCCGCAATCGATATCCTCAGTTATGTAGACTTAGTTACTTTAAAATTTGCGTTTTGGGCTTAGCAACTACGGAACCCTACATTGCGTGACTCGACACGCACTTGCCCAGTTTTTTTGCATGATATTTATCTTTATATAATTCTGAGCTATTATTAAAGTGTTAGTATGTTTTGACTGGCTCATTCGCTTAGTCAAAACTGCTTGACTTTTGGCAAGCATGGTTGGTATACCTTTTTGTTTGTTGATTTTAGTCTTATTTTTAATTACTTTTCCTAAACACAATAATAATGCGAATGTTGAATTTGAATGGTTATTTTTTATATATTTTTAATTTTAATGTGTTTCGTATTAAGTAGTTCTTTTCTGTAATAAAGTAAACTTCAATATAAGGATTTCTTATTTTCATTACTTATAATTGATGAATGAAACTATTATTATTTTAACTCTGTAAAACTATATTGATTTGCGTTTCTTCTTAGGCGAAGCTGTTGCTGCTGGGTTTTGCGGTACTTGCCGTGCTAGCCAACGCATACAAGAACCCCTATTACGCTCCAGGAAGGTCTGTGAACGTCCACCTCTTCGAATGGAAATGGGACGATATTGCAGCGGAATGCGAGAACTTCTTAGGGCCCAGAGGTTTCGGCGGCATACAGGTAATTTTTATTTGGTTTAATAAAGCTGTTCTATATTACTATTTCTGTTCCGTTCTGTGTAACAGAAAAGCTTTACCAAATAAACAAAGCCCAAGCGGGGATTGGATTTACTCGAGCGCGGCAGATTAAATTAATATGAGCAACCTTGCCCAGCAAAAAAAAAAACAACAAACAACAACGACTTTTGTTCTCGTCCAAATCGTCAGTCTTTTGAATAGGAGGTAGATACTGGAGGTTTCTCGGAATGTTCCTGGTGACGGAAAAATATTATATTATATTGCATGGTGTGGGGTTGGTCGTACGAAGGTGTAGAATATAGCAAAATAAGTATTCAAAAACCAAAAACTATTGAAAAGACTGACGAATTGGACGCGACCAAAAGTCGTGGTCAGTCAGTCAGTCTGTTTAAATATTATTTTTTGCCTGCCGTAAACGTTCGTCACTACAAAGAGGGCTCCGGTATGGTGGGAGTACTTCACAAGGGGCAAGGTTGTAGGAAAGAAAAAATATGTTTCATAGTAGTAGGGGAGCCCACGATTTCATACTTTCTAGTTATTTCTTAAAGTTTTTTCGAGAAATCGAAACTTTATTTAAAGATATCCTATTTTATGTCTTTTGTCTTTCCCATCAAGATTTCCCCACCCAACGAGAACGTGGTGCTGTGGACTTACGACCGCCCTTGGTGGGAGCGGTACCAACCCATGTCCTATAAACTGGTCACTCGTTCGGGTGATGAGAGACAATTCGCCGACATGCTGAGGCGTTGCAATGCTGCTGGGGTCAGGTAACTATAGTTAGTTTAGTTATAGGCACATAACTATAGTTTTATTATATATAGTACAAAAGCAACCACAGTATCCACTTTATCTCTTTCACTGTTCTAACTTTCTATACACCTTTCCTTCATTTCTTATTACGCGTCCTCTTCATTTCTTCTTTCCTTCTCTTACTGTTATTTACTGATTAATCCTCTCCACTTTCTCTCCCCTCCTACTCAAACGACATCCCTGGCTGCATCTCGACGCGGCTTGGATTCCAATTTTTTTTTATACATGCTTTATTTATTAGTAGGTAAAAACAAATAGAAGCGTATACCTACGCATATTTTTATCATCAATGAGTATTAAGAACGTACTACAAATCACGTAATATGGATTATTTAAAAATATCAGATAAGAGAAACGACACAGGTGGTAATCGGTCGGGTAAGTAAGTACTATGGAAATAATTAGACTAAAAATTTTATTAGGCATAATAATTGGACGTAGTTACGCGAAAACGTTCCAACCCACAGCGACCCCATTTTGAGATAAACGCAATTTTGTGTTTTAGCGGTACACTTTTTCCCTGTAATTATTTCAGGCAAATACTATTGGTGTTACTGTGGAATGCCAAACTGGTTATTGAATGATATGCATATTTTTTGTAAATACATAATACAAGGGGCATATAAATAGGTAAAACGAGTTTGAAACGTTTTCGCTAAATTTAATTTTGTATGAACCTTGTTAAATAGCAATTGTGCATAAACGTTCCAGAACGAATTTAAGTGTATTATTTTATAAATATATCTAAAATAAATATGTAAAATAATAAATAACAATGAAGAACATACAAAAACAACAAAAAAAAATTGAAAATGTATTACAAAAAAAATAGAACGTGATCTTTTGAGCTTAGAACCTATGCCAATTTGCTGATATGGTTCCAAAAGTTATCAAAAACTTATATTATAAACATTCAATTTTCATCATCGTATTCTATGATCTCGAAGTCCGGAACTCCACCAAACCCATCAACATCATCAGTGCTTCTTCAGAACTTTGAAGCGTTCTATAAAATTGAAGGCAATCCACTTCCTGTGCACCTCTTCTACCTCTCCTTCTACCAATACATAACAATGCCCAGTATCATTAAATGCACTATGGATACCACTATTGTAGAACTAAGTAAAAAAGTTAAACCTCTTCAAGTTTACAAAATGACAAAGACTGATTTTTTTAGTACAACTAAACTGGAAAAGAAGATTATCAATAGGAAGAAGTTTACAGACTCATCTAAAGTTAGTTGGCTACATACAAAAGAAATTAAGTTGGATAAAGATAAAATGTTTTCTATTTTTATGCGGTCTACGATGGAAGACGATTTCAATGAGTTGAAAATTGATAAAAGAATAAAACGAGAACTGCAATACATAAAAGAATCTGATTTTTGCTTATTGTGGCCTAACGACAAACCGATTGCTCCAGCGAAATTAGTGGACTTACAATCCATGTACCACTACATACCCGAGGATTGCCTTCAATTTTATAGAACGCTTCAAAGTTCTGAAGAAGCACTGATGATGTTGATGGGTTTGGTGGAGTTCCGGACTTCGAGATCATAGAATACGATGATGAAAATTGAATGTTTATAATATAAGTTTTTGATAACTTTTGGAACCATATCAACAAATTTTTGGCATAGGTTCTAAGCTCAAAAGATCACGTTCTATTTTTTTGTAATACATTTTCAAATATATTTTTTTGTTGTTTTTGTATGTTCCTCATTGTTATTTATTATTTTACATATTTCTTTTTGGTTTATTTTTATAAAATAATACACTTAAATTCGTTTTGGAAAGTTTATGCATAATTGCTATTTAACAAGGTTCATACAAAATTAATTTAGCAAAAACATTTCAAACTCGTTTTACCTATTTATATGCTCCTTGTATTATGTATTTACAAAAAATATGCATATCATTCAATAATCAGTTTGGCATTCCATAGTTAAACCAATAGTATTTGCCTGAAATAATTACAGGGAAAAAGTGTGTAAATTGCAAATTGGGGTTGCTGTGGGTTGGAACATTTTCGCGTTACTACGTCCAAATATACCATAGTTATTTATTTTGGTAAAAAATATCTTTTTCTCTAGAACATATTTAATAGCAAAAATGGATCAAGTATATGTGGATTGTTTATAGCTAAAAATTTTAAAATAATATATTATAATAATAGGTTTCAATTTATTTAGAACAGTGTTCGCAGCTTAAAAAAACAGTATGGATTAATCTAAAAGGTTTCAAATTACATGGAACATTTTTGCAGAAATAAAAAATGTATAAAGATTTTGCAAAAACGTTCCAACCCACATGGATCATTTAAGAAACCATTAAATGTGCGTTTTATGAATTTAGTATAATGTTCCAAGACAAGTGGAACATTATAACGATATGTTATTCTATTAAGAGTTTTTAACAATATGTTTCAGTATGCATGTAATGTTTTTACTTTATTTTGAGTACACGTCCTTGGCATAATGGTGGGTTGGAACATTTGGGTTAAACTTTATTGATGAAACTAACTTAAAAATACTAGCATCTTTGTGTGCACATGATGTAATATGGCAAAAATAGTACCCTGGTTATGGTAACTCATTTTCGAGTGACTTGTGGGTTGGAACGTTTTCGCGTAACTACGTCCAATTGATCTGTGCTTTGCTTGCAGTTATGAAGTGTTGGGAGGGATGATGATGATGATTTTATTTGTTACGTAGGTCCGTCCTTATACCAATTAAAAAAATCTAATAATATCTGTAGGTATCGAAATTATCGTCCTTATCAATCCGAAATTATTTCATAGCCGCAACCGTATCTGAATCCGATACAAAATATGTATATCCGTGTACGTCCCTCCATACATATCTTATTCAAATCCATAACATCCTTAATGCAATACTTTTCGATTCCGACTGAATATGTAGTTTTTTTGTATCCAGCAATTCACGTAACGGGTTATGGTCAGAACTTCATAAGTGATTCAGTTAAAAAGTACCTACAAATTGCTAAGCTTATGATAAATTAAGAATAATGTCGGTAACGCATGAGTAACCATTCACCACTAAACATCAGATGTGGTGCCTGCATAAAAATAGAAAAAAAACACTTAATGATTTTATTCACCCAGTTAAGGATAATAATTAGTGTACCAAATCGATGTTTAATACACTACATATACTTTAAGCTATCGACGATGATAACATATTTTTAAAATTTCCTTTTATCGACTAGCCACTGACCACTTGTCTAATGTCCCAGATATTAAAAATTAAAAAAGATTACGATAATGGTGTCGATTCTGACATGATTCTCTAAACCTTAAATTGCTACTTCAACTACTGGGAATACGGTCCCCTTTCAGAATACAACGATGCAGATGTATTTTTTTCCAACCTATACCTTGGTATGACGGATGCACATCGGTTACCATCCTGTTTTAGAATCTACGTGGACGCAGTTATTAATCACATGACTGGCGAGCCTCCAGAGAACTTCGGTACAGCAGGCAGCACAGCCACCTTCAGGGAATGGCATTACCCTGCAGTTCCATTCACAAGGGAACACTTCAACTGGCCTCATTGCGTCATCGATGGAATGGACTACGTCAACAATGCATGGAGGGTCAGTAAAATTGAGAAAGAAACAAGTATTCTCAAAATTATAAGAAAATTTAACCGGGTCGATTTAATGTGGGTGACTTTTGTTGCAGGTTCGCAACTGTGAACTAGTCGGTTTGAAAGACTTAAACCAAGCTGATGAACACGTCCGCAAAATGATTGTTGATTTTATGAACAACCTCATCGATCTGGGCGTAGCAGGGTTCAGGTACCTTACATAATAATTAGGCAATGCTATAGTTTAATGCTTAAGCTAAATCAAAGTCTTGTGTTTTGTTTGCAGGATCGACGCTGCTAAGCACATGTGGCCCCATGATCTCCAAATAATTTATAATCGCTTGCACAACCTAAACACAGATCATGGATTCCCGGCCAACGCTCGCCCATATATCTACCAAGAAGTAATCGACTACGGCACCGAAGCCATAAGCAGAGATGAATACACCCCCATCGGTGTCGTGACTGAATTCAAAGTGGGATTGGAACTCAGTAACGCTTTCAGGGGACACAACCAGCTTAGGTGGCTGGATACTTGGGGACCCCAGTGGGGACTACTAGCTCACAGTGACGCTTTAACTTTCATCGATAACCATGACAACGAAAGAGGCCACGGTGGAGGTGGCGGCATCCTAACTTATAAGGATCCGAGACCATATAAGGGCGCCATAGCTTTCCTTTTGGCTCATCCGTACGGAGAACCTCAAATCATGAGTAGTTTCGCTTTCCAGAACTCTGAAATTGGCCCGCCTATGAATAGTCGGGGAGATATAATTTCTCCTTCTTTTAACTCGGTAAGTAAACAAATATCTATGTAAGTATATATTTAAGCTATTTATTTTATTTTTATTCCAACCAGATTTTCTTCTGCGGTCTTTACTACAGCATATATGATATTACTATAGATTCTGTATTCATATTTATAAGAAAGGCGACTTGTAAGATGGTCTTCTTCTCGCGCGTCACCGGCGCCGCGGCTTGCGGATAGTCTGCTTTGGGCGTCCTGCCACTTCAGAATCGGCGGCGTCGCACTCTATCTTCGGGTTGGGGTGGGCGTTTTGAGTTCATCCTCCCCGTTCTTCTCGCACTACCCTCGGCGCGGTCAAGCCCACCGGATAAGACCCGTATGGGAGGTCCGGTGAGCAACCAGCGAGCGGGCTGCGGACTTAGGCGAGTTAATTGGTTTTGCATCGATAGGGAGTATACACATATTTAAAGGCGGTTGTTCTATCCTCTTATTTTCTTATTGTTTTACTTATTTATAATTAAATTTCTACGGCAACATCTTGGTGTATCAGTACAGTACTCTTAACACAAAACAATATCGAATTCGAAATGTTTGCGAGTGCGAAATGTCATTATTAAATGTGTACTGATTTTTAGTTCTCGTTACGACCGTTATGGCGCTGCTGTTTTAGTTTCCATACATAATTTCAATGACGTTTCGTACTCGCAAACTATTCGAATTCAATATCTTCGCCATGGTAGCGTTCAGGAATGTAGCGAGCAACACCGGCATCAACGACTGGTGGAGTAACGGCTTCAACCAGATCGCCTACGTCTTTACTTTCGCGATTATAATATAAGTATAAATTGTTTCGTTATTTATGTGAAAGCTGTTTTGTAGGATGGTTCCTGCGGCAACGGTTGGGTGTGCCAACACAGGTGGCGGCAGATCTTCGCGATGGTGGCGTTCAGGAACGTAGCGGGAAACACCGGTATCAACGACTGGTGGACTAATGGCTTCAACCAGATCGCATTCTGCCGCGGTGGCAACGCATTCATCGCCTTCAACAATGACTCGTGGGACCTTAACCAGAATTTGCAGGTAGCCTCAATATAACTCAAATAGAAAAATTACGCATTATGAATTAGGATGAAAAGCCCTAAGAAAAATATTTGATGATTATTTTTGATAAGCAATATGAAATCTAAACGTTGCGTTGACCTGGATTTTTTTAATAAATTAACATAATTTTCTTTAAAAAACAAATATATTTGGCAATTTGTAATGTGAAGTTATATATAGGTCAATGCACCTATATATAACTTCACATTACAACTTCGTTTAAATAATTCTATTGTGTGATTGCAAGTGAAAGATAAAAACGGACATGTGCTGTTCACATGCGATAGAAGTGAAACCTACAAAAATGTGAACACCTGTATTAAAATTCAACTCTCTAGGTTAAAATTTAATATTTAATACTTAATTTGTTCTGAAAAATAAAGAATAGCTTAATTAAAGAAAAAAACAGCGATAAATAAAATAACCAGGCTCAGGCGCGAACACACCGATCATTTGGTGTCGACCCCAAGACCGTTACCGTTTGGCTATCTATCTCTTGTAGTAAATGATAAAATTACGGATACCCATCTTGTCTCAAATACTCTACTTCCGTTTCATCGAATCTCAAGTCACAGCAATACTACTACTACTAATACTGTTTTTCTATTCTCGTTCTTTCTACTCGTATCGTCCATTATAAGTAGTTCAATTTTGAAAGTGTCTAAAAATTTGATAATAATTCATTACACTTTATTTTTTTCACTTTTTTATCTTCTTACTCAAGCAGCTTATTAGAACCAGGGCCGGATTTAAGGGCAGGCGGTTCTGTGGCTGTACAAGAGACCCCCCACAATAGAGATGGCCAAGGGTACCAGATTTGAAAATAGGGGCCCCTACATCTTCGTTGCCACATGGCTCACACTTCTTAATCCGGCTATGCTTAGGACAATCTGCATTGTTTATGGGATTTTCCTAAAACAAATTGTTGTGGTTTTCAGACTTGCCTACCAGCGGGCAGATATTGTGACGTCATATCCGGAGTGAAGACTGGCAACTTGTGTACCGGTAAGACGGTGACCGTCGGCAACGACGGCCGCGCGAACATCAACGTCGGCGCTCAGGACTACGATATGATGTTGGCGATACATATCGGACAAGAGGTACATCTCGATCAAGAACGATATTTATTTGACATCTAAACTGTCTTAGGATTAAGACAAAAAAAATATTAAACTTTTAACATTTGTTTCAGAGTCGTCTGTGATCGTGTTCTGCTGACAACGACAACAAAATCAAATGAAATAAACGTTTTTTATCAATGAAAAGTTTATTTTATTTTAGACTAGCGGCCGCTCACGACTTCCTCCACGTTTACTTTAGTTTTTTGAAAATCCCACAGGTACCAACCTTTCCCCGGGATAAAAAGTACCCTATGTCTCAATCCAGGTCATAGGCTATATGCGTACCTAATTCCATCCAAAGTATTCCATGCCCCTCTACAAGGTACATCATTATCTGTCTGAGCAAGAGTTCTTAGGCGCAGCGCACACCTGCAGTAGCGCGGCGAAGATACTGAGAAGTTAACAATTTAAGTCAAACCATTTCCTATACATAGAATGTACTGAATGCTCCTTAGAGTTCCTTCTTTTTTTTTCTTTTACGTTCGCTACAGTATTCCTCTTTTCGTAGGCTAGACTGCTAGAGTAAGTAACGTGACAAGCTGCGAACAGTCAGACGGACGGACAAGGTGAAACTTCCATGAGTTTTTAGTTTACAACAGAACCATACAACAGTTGAAAATGCGACGCTACTTAGCGCAAAAAAAGGTATTTAATTAACGAATAAGATCATGGACTATCTTGTTAGACTACCAAATTTTGTTGGTTTTCCCAGGCAGGTCCTTGCCCAGAAAATCCCAACAAGATTTGGGTTTCTACTATCTTCTTCTACTAGCTGGTGAGATTCAAACAACTTAGTAAAACTAACAGAAATGAACAATATTATGTTATTCAATCTTTCATCAAGAAAACACCACTAGCGTTGAAAACAGTAGGGAAAATGCCTGTTTGTTTTCAGGTCCGTTCTTTTTATTTTTTTTAAAACATCTAGTGAAAATATTTATTTCTATCACCGCGTCGGCCGTGTTCTACGTAGACCAAAATGTAATATTCGAAAGTATGCTGATCCTTTTCAAAGGATTCTTTAGGTATTTTTCTTAAGCAACATAGTTTTAATAAACTGAAAATTAAAGCCTTCATTAAATAAATAAATATTTCCATCACTCACACCAATTAGCCTTGCCCTAAAGTAAGCACTATAAGGTTTGATCTATTGGATATTAAGGTAACGGTTAGAATACATATATCTATTGTATATATATATAAGTATATTTTTATAGAAATATATATTAAACATCCATGACTGGAGTACAAATGCTCGTATTCATCACAAAAACATCTCCTCATTGGGATTCGAGCCCGGGACCTCTCGAGTCGGCGACACCATGAAACCCGGCGTTCAAACCACTCGGCCAAGGTGTGTTGAAAACTTTTTTGCTGCCCTAGACGTTCGACCCTATATAAAGGGCTCAGTTATGGTGGAAGTACTTCACTAGGTGCAAGCAGAAAAATATAACGGGAGCACCGTTATGTTATTATGCTGCGCTCGAGTAAATCCCAAAGTCCCCTCTTGGGCTTAATTCCTACTTGAGGTTATGTGAAAATACGATGAAACTTATGTACCCTGATTCATTCCTCATTTTATAATAAAAAAATAATAATAACCGTGCTCGAGAATGTCCAGGTGATGTTTTTTTTGCAACTTTGTGACTCTCCCATTTCCGTTTGTCACGCTCAAATTCTGCATGTACACACATGCACACTTTTCTGCATGTGATTAACTTACCTTACCTTAATCTGACGCGCTTGAGTTTCTCCAACGATCGATTTTTTCAGTACCGTAAGTGAGGGTTACTTTAGCTCGGGCGGGTAACTTTGTCCCAAATCCGAAAAAATATCGAACTTGCCGCCCCATCAGTATCTCTTGGGTGACCGTAATAGTTCCAGTTGAAAATCACAGATAGCCATATAGGCGCGTAGTGTGGTGTTGTTTTACCGACATCGTTCCTGTATCAAGTTGTCATTGTAACGCGGGATTTTTTGTAACTGAAATAGTTCGCAAGTTCATGCGCAAACTTTCTCAAAACTGTGGTTTTCGGCAAGTTTACTCTATTTTCTAAATTTAAAGTTAAATTTTTTATTTAACTTAATTATTTTTGGGCAAAAACATCCATTTGTGCATTCAGTATGCTAATTGTGATATGATATAAGGGTTACTTAACCCCAACATGGCTTAAAATGAGTTTTTTTCACAGAGAAAACTCAACGAGCTAAAGTAACCCTCTTTAAGGCTTACTTTGGCCCAAAATTTAAAAAATATATATATGAACCCTTAAATATTATTTTTTCCTATTTTCGTATAACTTTGTAACTTATACTTTAAAGTTCACAATGGAACGATATAAACGTGACATATTCATCACAAAGAGAAGCTACAATTTTATTTGAAAAAAAAGTGCACATTTTAGGTCAAAGTAACCCGCAGTTACTCGGTAATCTGATCGGCTGCCCTAGTCGTTCAACACTATATAAAGGCCTAAGGAATGGTGGGAGTATTTCACAAGATGCAAGATAGCCTCCCTTATATTAATCTGCTGCGCTCGAGTTAATCCCAAAGTCCCCGCTTTGGCTCCCTACTATAACAAAATAATGGTGTGCTGAAAACGAATCCCTAGAAAACTTAATATTTATTTGACAAAAATTATGGAAAATCTTGTGTAGATAGATAGATAGATTATTTCTTTGGGTCTTTTGAGAAAGGCCAAGATAGAGCGAACAAACTTGAACAAATTCAATACTGCTTATTCAGTTTAGGCTATAAAAAGTGTCTTAGAATTTAATATGAAAATTAAAAACATTTTTGAATAAAGTTTATTTACATATAACTAAAGCATATAAGTGCCATTTTGTACAATTTTTTGCCGTCGATTTTTTAAAGAAATTTTAGAGCTCCTGATCAAAAAACCGCGACTAGTGGTTTTGGCAGTCCTCTCGTGATATTAACCTGACACTGCCTAAAGAACTTTGAAGAGACCGAATCCCAATGGGGAGATGTTTTTGTGATGAATACGAGCATTTGTACTCCAGTCATGGATGTTTAATATATATTTCTATAAAAATATACTTATATATGTACAGTAGATATATGTATTCTATCCGTTATCCTAATATCCCATAGAGCTCCTGAATAATCCCTCTCTAGGCGGTGCGATGGATGTATAAATGTATACGTTATCTAGCACCCATAGTATATATTTACGAATTGGAAAAAACGATAAATTATGAAAACACAGAGGCATTCCTCACATAAGTGATTAATAAAATATGCACAATACTTACACAAATGCACAATACACGCGCGCGCACACACACACACATACACACACACACACATATACCTCTAAGAAAATATTAGCAATTTTAACTGTTCGGATTGTGAGTCTTGTATAATAATTTTAGTTGGCGTTTTGTTTATTTCAAAATTGTTATATTAAGTTGTGTTGGCGATTATTGTATAAATAGCATCATCTAGATACTTACCTGCAGTGATGAGAAAGCGGGTTCTCCTGATACAGGTTTTATTTAAAACTTACTAGCAGGACTTTTTGACACGATTTTTTGATCACCCTGTTTAAGTGGTATATGCTCTAAGACCTATATGGAGAAGACTCTAAAATTGTTGTGAACTCGCGTTAATGCTTTAAATTGCGCGCCAAAATTGAAAACTTATAAACAAAGAAGTTGAATCGATAAAAATATGTTCGGGAAACTGAAACCTGCGTGACTGGTCTGCTAAGTGGGCGGGTGCCGACCGAGTCGGTGTCGTGCCCGCGCGCCGTCATTCGACGCTATGGCTCTACGCTCGCAACTCCTGCGCAAAGGTATTTACTCATTTGTTACACGAGTTGAAATCTCTGTCGATCACTTTAATCTATATACGTTATATATATTTTCTCGTACGTACCTAGGCAAAATATATATAATTACACTGTCATTACTTTTAACAGAATTAAAAAAAAATGTTTAGAATTTATTGCCGTCTTTGTTTGTTATCCTCATTTAAGCCGGCATAGTGTACCTATGTAACGTAACATAAAACGTAATGTGTTTGCATGTTCACTTCCATGTTGTGTTGGCTGTTTTACATCGTTTACAACAATTTTTATAATGACTTCAGTTACCTACAACTGAGTAACTTTGTCGTACTTAATTTCGCATAGCATTTGCGGTTATTTTGTTAAGAGTATGTTGATAAGTCATTCGACCTTGATGCTATATTATCATAATAGTTCCATTATTAACATTGATATCCTATTATGGTTTACTTAGGTAATAACAGCTTTTCAGCAATATTCAGTAAATTGTTATATTATTTTTAATACATAGATGTAGGGAACATCTATGTTTTTGTGAGAAGTAAATATAGTAAATTTAAAAAATACCTTTTCTATCTTCAGGTTTTTCTCACGTTTCAAGGTTATCTACCGAGTTCATATATTTTCAACATGTACCATAAGTATTAGCATATAAACTATATATTTAATAAGTTAAATATGATTAGTAGTCTACTTATGTGCCGAATCGACATTTAAAACCTGAGCTATATAGAAACTAGATCTCAAGTCTTCTAAATCAAGAATTTTATTAAATCTACCTGTAGCATAGATATAGTATAGTTTACCTATATGTAGTTATACATTTGATATAATATTTGTTATAAAAACCAGATTTGTGTATTTTTCTGTTGCAGTCTTCAATGGCATTCAAGTGCGTAATCTTCATGAGTTGAATAATAAAGAGCGCGCAGGGGTTACGAAACTAAGAGAAGTATTGGACGATCGTCTGAAGGAAATCAAGAAGGCCAAGACTTGGAAACATGAGAGAGTGCTCACATCCCCACAACAAGCCAAGGTAGGTATTATTTAAGTTCTTATTTAAAAGGAATATAAATATATAGAGGCAATCACTAAATAATGTTTATTTCAATGTTATCAAAGAGTACGAGCATTAACAAATAAGAAGGCATTAGCGACTTAAAAAATATAGCGGTTTGAATTCCGAAAATATTGCTGAGATTCCTTCATAAGTAAATTTGGCAATAAATTTTCAAATAAAGAAAAGAAAGCTTTAAATGACTTGAAAGATTTTCTTCATGATAGAAGTACTAGTTAGGTAGGTACTTGTTTAAAACGGCATCGCAGAATACTTATAATAATATGCAAGATTAGTAGATAATCAATTGCTTCATGAAATAGGAAATACAATCTTCACAAAGATTATAATATAATAAAATTCCTCTAAAGTTTGTAACACTTCATACTAAATGCTACACCTGTGGTTAATATTTCATAACACATCTGTTCGCAGGTGTAAAAACAATTTGATGTATTAGTTACCTACTTATATAGGCTTTAGTTGCTTGTTAGTCCTATCATGTAGTGTTCTGTTAGATGATAGCTGCTTACATAACAGGTGAACGCACTATAAATAAGTGTGCATAGGTAGTATTCCTATATGGCATTTACTTCGAATCTTAGGTAAATAATGTGACGTGCATGCTGCGTAGGTTGTTTGTAGGTAAAATAATAGTAAGAAATAATGGAGAAAAAAGTATTTGTGATGAAATTACACTGAACGCCACGGGTGTAGGGCGGCAGTCCAGGGCGCCGGATATAAGGGGGCGCCGAAACGGTGCGAGTGATATTTTTGATATCGCAAGCGTCTATAGGGTATGGTGCCGCTTACCATCAGGGGGCCCTAAGCTTGATTGACACCCTTTTAAAATAAAAAAAATATCTACGAACGACATATCTTAATCCAGATTGACAAACTTTGCAAATATGTCAATGAAAATGATATGAAAATACAAAACATTTTATTACAAGTTCATACATACTTATAATACGAAGACTTTTTCCCCAACCTATTAATATGTGTTACTTGTGAGATACTTGTGTTTTCATGAAGTAAGTTTTCGATTGTCCGTTTCTATCGTAAACTTTTTTTCATTGTCTTTCTATTTTATTTAAACGAGTTGTCTTTGAGCAAAATAAACTAATTGTTATTGTTACCGCGTGTTCGCCCGCACTCTTTAGCCCGCAGCGTTGTAAACAAATCGGCATCTGATAGTATTAATTTAAATGTTTCAGAGGACCTCGATGGTGCAGGTGGTTAACGCATTCGGCCTGCGATCGTGAAGTTAAGCAACTTTCGCAATGGTTGTTCATTGGATAGGTGATCAAAAACTTATTATATCGATTCTCAAGCTTTCCTTTGTGCTTCAGAAGGCACGTTAAGCCGTTGGTTGCGGCTGGATTTGCAGTCGCTAGCACCCAGCAATCTGCATTGGGCCCGCTTGGCAGGTCACGGCCCAGCCTCCCTATTCCATCCAAAGAAGGCCCGTGTGTGCTCCTGCAGTGGGGACATTAATAGGCTGATGATGATAAACGTTTCCCGATGATAGTTGTTACTGTACGCGGTTGAAAATAACATTTTCGATCGATGGAGTATGGAATCCAGATGAAATCCGTCATGAAAACACAAATCTCATTGTTAAAGATTATCTCTCTCTCTCTGTGCATTGTGAACTGATAAGAATAAATAGATAATAAACAATTATGTAATCATAGTCAAAGCACGATGTATATGAGCCATATACAAGTCTTATCACGAACATAGAGATCTCAATCATAATAATAGTATTATTGAAATGAAATGAAATGAAAAAACCTTTATTGGCCATTATTGATTAATTTTACCCCAGTAATAGATAGCACTATCGTTCAGAAGAGAGGAATAGGGCATAGCGGCTTTCCTGTGCGAATTGGAGCGCCCGCCTGGGAAAGTAACCTCGACTTTGAAGAAGACTAGTATAATGACACGAAATACTTTTTGATACATAGAGCTAGATGGCTGACGCGGCTAGGAGGGAAGTAGTCATACATAGCTTTAACTCTGTCAAATTGGGCATACAAATGATGTGGGTATGTGTGCAGGATTTGGCGGTGTATTGTGCCATTGTTTATGTACGAGTGTCGTTATTACAGTTTTGTTTTCCGTGCAAAAATGACAGAATGATTGGAATACTATTATGTCGCTATGGCTACTTCCTTCCGCCGGCAAAGTGAAAATGCTTTGAGCGGCAAACTTTTCTGCTGCATCAGCTATCTTCTCAACTGAATTCCACTTACACTTAACATTATGTTGGTTTGGATAATTTGTAGGCTTATGTTAGTGCAATACTGTACCAGTAGATTCCTGTGGCTTGTAAAAAATAATATTGTACCCCGATGTGCATTGAAACCTAACCATGTTTTATTTCAGGTGACTGTTCAAGGTGCCAAAGGCAAATATTTGAATTTCTGCGCAAACAATTATTTAGGATATTCTGTAAGTTATCTATTTTTCATACAAAAAAGTACAGGGTATTACTATAATACTATATTAAGGAAGAAAACGATGTAAATGTCAAGAGGATTTTTCATTTGATACTAACAATTCACACATTGATAAAATTAAACAAGTATATTTTATATACGCTTAAGTAAATACCCTATATATGTATGACTAGTTCATTCTTAATTTAATTTTTGGGAAAATTTTAACATCGTTCATGTATTATTAATTGATGATTTCAATAATCGCCTACCTAGGGTCTTAGGTAGCTGGTAAGAGAAATCGCCAGGAAGCAAAAAAGGTTACATGTTCGAATCTCGCCTGATTAAATAGATAAATGCCAGTAGATACGATTCTAATATTTAGAGATAGAATCTAAAAAGGATAGTCAAATCACCAATGATATTATATAAAAGCAGACATGTCATAGGCGCGCACGCTGTGAAGACTCGAAAAACATTGCATTATCATTGGAGCGTAACATTTGAAATTGGAACATTGTTGGAATAGCTTTTAAACGCAATTACCATGAACATAACATATCTATAAAAATTTTATGTCATTGCAAATCACTGTTTCTTTCTTTGTTTACACAGAATCACCCCGAAGTGGTAGAGGCAGCTAGAGAAAGCCTAGACAAATATGGCGCAGGGCTCAGCTCTGTACGATTTATCTGCGGTACGCAAACATTGCATAAGGTAAGGAAACATTTATTCACAATCGAGTACTACCTACTACATAGTAACTTCTACAATGAGACTGACTTTTTTCCTCCTTTTTACCCGGCTGCGCAATGCAAGAGCGCGAAGCGCGACGCGCAGACAGGGTTATGTGTTTTCATTTCTCATTCTCGGAAAGTGGTGTTGTTTTGATCTGTTTGTTGGGTGGAAAATGCTGCTTCCCTCTCTAGAGAGGGAAAAACTCATAAAAATTACTTCCCGCCTAAGGGCCGGAATGAACTTTAAAAATAGAACTACTGTCAGGCGTGAAGTTTTTTGTAAAAAAAAATGCTGCCGCCATGTGAGTTTCTAAACAGCCAGTGTGAACTTAGCACAAACTTCTTTGAGCGGAATAAGCCGCAACAATTACGCTGTTCCATATTTAAATTTAAAAAGTCGACATAAATTGGCGGGATACTAAACTGTTATGCATCTGTTATGTGATGGAATAAAAAAATAGTAATAATAATCTTTTAAGTAAAACAGAGCAATCCAACTTTGAATATTAAAAATGAGTTCAAGCGATTCAGAAATGTTGACACCGGATTCAATTAAAGACGAGGCAAATTGTGTTATAGAGAATATTTTGCCAGAAATGTTAAAAAAGAGATATATAAATACATACAATGATTTTATAAAGTGGTGAGCAGAGAAGAATATAAAATCGTTTTCCGAAAGTGTATTTCTTACATATTTTAATGGACTGTCTAGCAAACTACAGGCTCCTACAATTCGCCTCAGCAGACAACTTCCAGGGAGTATCCGCCATGGAATCCATCGTTTGATGAAATAACAGAGTGTCCTACTTTTACAGATATCCAAAACAGCCAAATTTGTAATATTATATCAAACAGCATAGTTTCAAACAAGAATGTTACTTTTAATTTCAGTAATTGTCCTAATATGATAATTAATTTTAAATAGCTACTTCTAATTTTATGGTATATATATAACTATTTATGAATAAATATTTTTGTTAAACAACTAGTTTTATTTTCCTCATATTCGAAATGAAAAGTACAGTGTTTAACTCGGGTAAAAGAATCAATTCCTACTCGGACTATAGCCGCCCTCGCTGCGCTCGGGCGTCTAAATACCTCGGGAATTGATTCTTTCCACCCTCGGTTAACAATCTACTATTAACAGTCTATATATGTATGTTTGTTCCTTTGTGGCACACTAGAGACCAAACGCCTGGACCGATTTTGATGATTCATACATCAATCGATTCGTCTCAATCATGGGAGTGCTACTAAAGATATGATAGTAATCAAAATTCAATGTGGGCAACATTAGGCGCCATATTGTGACGAAGTAAAAAAAAATAAGTTGACAAAATATATCGAGTGGGGTATCACTGTCTAGAAATTCAAAAATCATATTTAGGTTCCTAACACCATTTTACATTTTATATGATTTTTTAGGATCTACAACGCATTAAAGTTGTATATTAACCACTTACGCTTTTAATTTCAATCTTACGTTTGTATGGATCTTTGTTACTCTTTCACCTAAAAAATACTGAATGGATTTTAATGAAACTTAACAGTAATATAGCTCATATATGATAATTACATATATATAATAATTTATGTAGTTATTGAGTGAATATATAACAATAAGTGTCACATAAGACGGAAAAAAATGTCCCATCTGCGAGTTATTTTGGCCTGCACTGCAAAAACAATAAAAGTTATATGAATGTAATGTAGAGTGAAAATGTATCTCTTAAATAGTTCTAATAAAAGTCCGTGACACCATATATCTATTTTTAATGTGTAAGTCATTACCGCTAAAATAGTGAATCAAAACTAAAATATTATTCGATATCTATTTCCAAAATGCACATTTTGTATTAACAAATCATTTTTTATCCAAACAAATACTTTTATCGCTTTTGATATTTAAAGACGATAAACTTTGCTTTTTACAAAATGTAATTTCGACAAATATTTAAAAAGTTACGATGACAAAGTGATAGCGCGGTGTACTATGTAAAAGAAAAAAAAATGGGGTATTCGCAGTATCTGATCCTATACGAAGTACTAACAATAAAACTGTGATACAGTTCCTTTTTATTAAATGATGAAAAATATATTATCGTAATAGATATTTATGATTATTGAATTTTAATGAAAAACTCAGAATTTTACTGTTTTTCATTTTTTTTAACGATATTACTTAATGTTGCAAAAATGGTTTACTTAATATAATGACAAATAACCCATTTTTCGCCAGTGAGTACATACTTATTGGAATCCCTGTATTTATTAATCAGCTCGCGATAATATTGGTTTTGTAATAATTCTGCAAAATTCAAAGTAAATAATGTAGATTTTTATAGGTAAATCACCCCTTTCATCACCCTACGCCTATAAGTATTGCGATGTTGTAGCTAAGAACCAAGTTCCCATCTACTTCTATATGGGAATTCATTATATTCGATTTAGCTATTAGGGCACGGAAGCGCAACAAACAAATTCACAATCGCATCTATAATATTATATTATACTTACTAGTGATCCACCCGGGCATTGTACGGGCGAAATTTATTTATCGGGATAAAATATAGCCTATGTCACTCGGACAAAATGTATTTAAATAAAGAAAAATCTTATAATAAATAACGTAGCTACCTTATGATGAATTAATATTTGAAACCGGTTCAGTAGTTTGACAGATTATTTGTTACAAACATACAAATCTTGCCTCTTTATAATATTAGTATAGATAGTAAGGATAAGATAAGTATTTAATTGATGAAAAAGATTTAAAAATAAAGTAAGTAATAGGTTTATTTGATTATATTTGTAAAAGTTACTTAGCATTTGTGATTAACAGTGATACGTTATTCGGTATTGTTTTAAACAAAAAAAAAATTGGAAAATAATTGCCATGATTGCACTACTGGGAGTACTCTTCATTCGAACTTTACACTACCAATAAAAAAGGGTCGAACATAAAGTCTTTGACCTGTTAAATGAGAACGCTTTAAAAGAAAACTACAAAGAGAACTATAAATTGATAATAAATGAGATTGCTATGGTGCTCTACCTAACTTTATGAAAATTGTATTATGCGCCTATAGTTTAATCAAATATTATAAACTTTGCTTTGGTGATTGCATAATTATTTAATTTAGTGATCAGGCAAGGCAATTGCCACCATTGTCCAAAACAATAGAAGGGAATTACTGATTTCTTCAACCTGCGACATAAACGTCATTGATTGGTATTGTACATAGAGTGATTAAAAACATTTGAAGTTAACTTCTGGCATCTACATATTGGGTTTCTGTGAATTATGTAGGTTTATCAAATTATGAGACTAGGGACTGACACTGAATTTGTGTATATCACAATCTTAGACGTCCGGCATTGACATGACAATGCAGCCACTGACTGCACAGCCATTTTAAATAGTCGACGAATAAAAGTAAATGAATTTTATATTTACTACTCAACTATTAAAAAAAAAAACATAAACAAAAGATGACTTTTTGAGTAAGTGCTAGTTTACTATAAAATTTACATACATAAGAGATATTTATGTAACGACTTGATTTAACTTCACATATTTTTGCGAAAATTGAGGCCCATCTGTAGCCTTGACCCCGCTGGTAAAGTCTTTATATGTCTTAATAAATCAATCTTTTAGACCGACGCCAGGTACTTAATAATTCCCGCGATATTAATTCCCATACTGAAGTAACAAGACTACGGTATATACCGTCTTAAAATACTAACTCACTAAAAAGTGTGAAATAAAAAAGGTAAATTTAAAAAATCAAAAAACCCGACTGCTTTATTATACTTCAAATAAAAGCTAAAAAGAAAAAAACAAGTCCAGTAGTCTATAATTCTGTTAATAAGGAACAAAGCTACTTTAACAGTCGGGACCCACTGTTGAAAAATATTATGTATTCTTGAATATCTAATGGGTCCCGACTGTTAAAGTAGCTTTGTTCCTTATTAACAGAATTATAGACTACTGGACTTGTTTTTTTCTTTTCAGTTTTTATTTGAAGTATAATAAAGCAGTCGTTTTTTTAGATTTTTAAAATTTTTAAGTTTAAGCTAAATAACAGTTTAATCATTTTTTGTGTAAATCACAGAATACAGAAAGAGGTGTAAATACTGCGAGTCAGTGCCATTCCATTAGTATAATCATGAATGGAAATCAAAAGGACATTGTTAACAAACTGTTGATCGAAGCTTTCCAAGGACTAAGGAAACTTTTTAACTATTTGATAAATGGTTCATCTAAGCAATGTCACAAATATCCTTTAAACATTTACAAACCGAAAGTACTAAGTATGTGTAGGTATATCATCATCAGCCTATTAATGTCCCCACTACAGGGGTAGGCCTACCCTATGGATGGAATAGGGAGAATGGGCCGTTACCCACCACGTGGGCTCAGCGCGGATTGGTGGGTGCTAACGACTGCAGATGCAACCGAGACCAACAGCTTAACGTGCCTTTTAAAGCATGGAAGAGCTGGAGATACTAAGTTTTGGTCACCCATCCAATGACCGACCATTGCGAAAGTTGCTTAACTTTCACGATCGCAGGCTAAATGCGCTAACCACCTGCGCCATCGAACTCTTCAAGCAGCTCCTCTTCGAGCGTGTCATCATGCCATAATAAGTTTCGAGTTGCCATACCAACTATGCTAGAGAAACCTTTTTTAGACGGACATGTAATTTTTACAATAAGAACTTGACAAAAGCAGATATTTTCAGTGAATCACTTTACAGCTTCAAAAGGAAAGTGAGTGAATTATTGTTTAAATAGTATAACATGTGCGGCGGCGATGTATATCATATGTTTAAAGTTGTCCGTCACTTTTATGCCGCTTGAATATAATAAATATACACTTCTGGACATATCTATTGGCCCACCTTAGAGTTTAGGTTTCGATGGCCCCTACCGAAATATGATTGCTAGATTGAACAAAAACTGTTAATGCAGTTTTAAACCTGATACATTTTACCATCTTTTTCGATCGTATTGTTTTAAGTTTGTATTCAGAATACCATACGACATGGAGTTACGTCTAACAAGTCGGATATGCGCCTTGTTAAAGGCAATTGATTTTTGAATAAAAACATGTTTTATCAAATAAAGGTTTAATTTAATAACGCGTGTTGCCTCCATGGGCAACTACCACAGCTCTCATACGATTAGGCATAGAGTTTATCAACCGCTCTATGAAATTTTGAGGGATCATCTCCCATTCCTCTTCTATGGCAGTTTTCAACCCCTGCATCTTCTGGGCAACTGGCTGACGAGCCCTAACACGTCTTTTTAGCTCGTCCCACATGTGCTCAATGGGGTTCATGTCTGGGCTTCTGGCTGGCCAGTCCATAACTGTGATTGTTCACATCCCGAAGATATTCCCTGACGATGCCGGCCGCATGGGCTCTTGCATTATCATGCATAAAAAGGAAATTTGGGCCCACATAGTCCGCGTATGGTATCACGTGAGGTTCTAAGCACTCACGAATGTACCTTTCAGCATTTAATGTTGGCAGCCGTGGTCCTGTATCAACCTCAAGTTGAGTTTTGCCGCTCGCGGATATACCGCTCCAGACAGTCCATGAGCCACCGCCATAAGCAACCCTCTCTTCAAAGAAGCATTTTGCGAAACGCTCTCCCTTACGTCGGTAGACCTTCTTCCTTCCATCATTGCCATGTAACACAATTTTAAACTCATCAGAAAAGAGTACACGACTCCAATCTTGCTGTGTCCAATTTAAATGACTGCAAAAAAAGACTATTGAATGAAATTGTGAATGTGCCAGGTTCAAAACTGCATAAAAACTTTTTGCTCGACCTAATATAAAATTTTAGCTAGGACCAAACGAAACTGAAAATACAAGGTGGGCCAATAGATGTGTCCAGAAGTGTATATCAATTCACTTTAGGTCTATTTGTAAACATAAATTGTAAAATTGTTTGTATAAGTCTTTTTAAATAAATAAAAATTAAATTAAATTTATTAAATAAATAAATAAATAAAAATAAATATGGTATCACTTAATAAATTATTAATTCATACTTACAGGAATTGGAACAGCGTTTGGCACAATTCCACGAGCGTGAAGACGCTATCCTGTACGGGTCGTGCTTCGACGCCAACGCGGGATTGTTCGAAGCGATGCTTACGCCCGAGGACGCGGTGTTCTCTGACGCCCTCAACCACGCCTCTATCATTGACGGCATACGTCTCTGTAAAGCGCAGAAATACCGGTACCCGCACAGAGATCTTAACGGTGAGTTTTTATTTATTCAAATGCATAAGTACCAGTGCCGTCTTTGACCTATTGAAGGCCCTGGGCATATAAGGATAATGGGGCCCCTATGACTTCCGTTTGGTGATTTAACAGGAACTAGGAACTTTGTATTCGATCTGAGGGGGCCCCCTATCGTTCGCAGGGCTCTGGGCACTTGCCCAAAGTGCCCACTGGGAAAGACGGGTCTGATAAGTACCTTATTTCTGTTTGGTAAATGTCAGGAGTTCGATGAGCGAAGTAGAGCAACGTTAGCAATGGCCGGTTAGGAGCTCGAGCTTCTCCATGCTTTGAAAGGTACGTTAAGTAAGCCGTTGGTCCCTGTAACATTTGTACCCTTAGCACGAACCAATATCGAATTCGTTACGATTGCGACTGCAAATCGTCATCGAGAAATTTTGTATGGAACCTTTAACAGCGCCACAACGTATGTAAAGAGAATTGAAAATCAGTACCCTTAGCACGAACTAATATCGAATTCGTATCGTTTGCGAGTACGAAATGTCATTGTTAAATGTGTACTGATTTTTAGTTCTCGTTACGTACTTTGTGGCGCTGCTGTTCAAGTTTCCATACAAAACAATGGTATTTCGCACTCGCGAACTATTCGAATTTGATAATGGTTCGTGCTAAGGGTACAGTAGTTCTAACTTTTTTGCATTTGGTGCATATCGAGATCGAATATCTACTAACTATTCGAATACTATAATGGTTCGTGCGGCAGCGCACTCCCTTAGGGCACAGCAGTCGTTAGCTTAGCACCCACCAATCTGTCTGGCTCAATATCTCTATGCCGTTGCAATATATATGGAAGGGTTGCGCCCCAGCTGTGGGGACATTGTTGTGTGGTTACAGGTATTATTTATAGGGATTGGTGTGACGTTACGCTATCTCTTTTCAGAGTTGGAACACCTCCTGGCTCATAGCGAAGCTCGTATCAAGTTAATAGTGACTGACGGGGTGTTTTCCATGGACGGAACAGTAGCTCCTATAAAGGGCCTGCGTGATTTAGCAAACAAGTACAGGGCGTTGCTCGCGGTAGATGATAGCCATGCTACCGGTTTCTTCGGAGACAAAGGACGGTAAGTATCTTTTGTCAAATGCGGTCACCAAGTTTAGTTTAGTCTAGTTTTTCAGGGCGGTTTGCGCATTTAGTCCTAATCATTGGACCATTGTACGTGTCTCGAAACATGGCGTGAAAAAACGCCGCACCTTGTTCAGGACTCAGAGTTTGCGTTAAGCTGTTTTGATCACGGTTTCGATGTAGTCCTTTGGATTCAGGTCTGAGCGAACTTCGACGAATTCTACGCTCATGCAGGAAGTCAGCTACCCAAAAACAGAACTGGGCTGGCAGACCTTATGCCGGAAGCTTGGAGAGAAGGCTTTCGTGCCAGACCCTGTCGAACGCCTTGGCAATGTCAAGGCTGATAGCCAACAACTCGCCACGTTTGTCGATAGCCTCACCCCAGATATGAGTTAAGTACGCTAGAAGATCACCCGTCGATCGTTTCGGTCTAAAACCATATTGACGATCATTAATCAGGGAGTGATCCTCTAGGTAGCGGGTCAGATGGTTATTAAGGACCTTTTCTAGAACTTTAAATAAGACTTGGAGATAGGTAATGATGGTGGCAGCGCATTGCAATCGTCGATTCGGGAGTTAGCCGCAAAGAGTTTTGCCAGTAAATCGGCTTTCTCCTGCGGCTTATAAGCTAGTGTTCCGTCTGGGCATCTCAGAGGTGGCAGCGAGGGCTGGCAGAAGTTTTTTTGCACGGTCTTGGCCAAACGCCAGTAGCTACGGGAGCCCGTAGGATGCGTTATAAGTTCCTGGCCAACACGTGCAACGCGCTGGGCATCCGCTCTGATGTAAGCTTTCTGGCCTTGGAAGCAAAATTGTAGGCTGCTTTGAGTGAATCGACCTCGGGATCCTTGAGAGCGCGGCCTCTGATCCAAGCACGATATGCCGCTTGCTTACGCGAAGCAGCTTCAGCACAGTCGTGATTGAACCAGAGGTTACGTGTGCCCTTACCGATGAGATCAGAATGAGGAATATAGTATTCCATACTCATTATAATCTCTTCAGTAATGGCAACGGTACTGGCCGATAGGTCCATGTCACTGAAGCAGCGCTGCTTCCAAGGGACGGACGCAAAGTAGTCACGTATACCGTCCCAATCTGCCAACCCATAATGCCAGATACGGCGCTTGACCACTGCTGGACGCGAAGGCTTGGCGGGTGGTGCTTTGGCAGATATCAGGCAGTGGTCTGACGAGCCTAGGGGGGCTCTTACCACAACCTGATAGCCTGATGTGGATGGGTCGTGAGCAGAAGGTCTAGTAAAGAAGGCGCTTGACTTGGAATATCTGGGATCCTGGTGGGCTGATCAACCAGTTGCTTCAAGTCATGCGTGAGAGCCTATTTATATATATTTTGATATTAGTAACTATTCTTCATAAAATTAAAGTAGGTAAGTTTCTGATTCGCTCTGGTGTAGTGGAGCACGTAGGTGCGCCGATTCGAGAGCGCCCTCATAAGGAGGGTCTAGGAGGGTACCGGTGGTTTTTATTGGGTAGGACCGGCGTTGTTCCGTGTCGGGGAGACCCACACACGTGGCGCGCCTGGCAAGCGCGCGGCATGGTCAGTAAATGGATTTTCCACCGTCAACAAAAAAAAGGTAAGTATCTGATAATAATTTGAAGATAAACGAAGGTCGTTGAGGACGAATCAGAAAAATAAAAATCATCAACAATAGGCTATTTGACTTATAATAGATAGGTAGGTACCTTATATTTACTACCATGACGAATATAAATCTACACTACGTTAGCGAAGTTGACGGCAATCGACCGTTTGTCCATATCAAACAGCACGATAGCATGCAAATCTTAGAGGCTCGGGGCGCCAGATTTTAAAATACGCCCCTGATACTAATGTGTAACTTTTTATCGATAATATTGAATCGAATCGCCATAGATAAGTGTGTCTTAGGCCGTAATTACATTATTTTATACCCGGCTGCGCAATGCAAGAGCGCGAAGCGCGACGCGCAGACAGGGTTATGTGTTTAACAGTCTATATATGTATGTTTGTTCCTTTGTGGCACACTAGAGACCAAACGCCTGGACCGATTTTGATGATTCATACATCAATCGATTCGTCTCAATCATGGGAGTGCTACTAAAGATATGATAGTAATCAAAATTCAATATGGGCAAAATTAGGCACCATATTGTGACGAAGTAAAAAAAATAAGTTGACAAAATATGTCGAGTGGGGTATCACTGTCTAGATAATCAAAAATCATATTTAGGTTCCTAACACCATTTTTCATTTTATATGATTTTTTAGGATCTACAACGCATTAAAATTGTATATTAACCACTTCCGCTTTTAATTTCAATCTTACGTTTGTATGGATCTTTGTTACTCTTTCACCTAAAAAATTACTGAATGGATTTTAATGAAACTTAACAGTAATATAGCTCATATACGATAATTACATATATATAATAATTTATGTAGTTATTGAGTGAATTTGCCAATATATAGCAATAAGTGTCACATAAGACGGAAAAAATGTCCCATCTGCGAGCCATTTTGGCCTGCACTGCAAAAACAATAAAAGTTACATGAATGTAATGTAGAGTGAAAATGTATCTCTTAAATAGTTCTAAAAAAAAGTCCGTGACACCATATATCTATTTTTCATGTGTAAGTCATTACCGCTAAAATAGTGAATCAAAACTAAAATATTATTTGATATCTATTTCCAAAATGCACATTTTGTATTAACAAATCATTTTTTATCAAAACAAACACTTTAACCGCTTTTGATATTTAAAGACGATAAACATTGCTTTTTACACTATGTCATTTCGACAAATATTTAAAAAGTTACAACGATGACAAAGTGATAGCGCGGTGTACTATGTAAAAGAAAAAAAAAGGGGTATTCGCAGTATCTGATCCTATAAGAAGTACTAACATTAAAACTGTGATACAGTTCCTTCTTATTAAATTATGAAAAATTTATTATCATAATAGGTATTTATGATTATTGAATTTTAATGAAAAACTCAGAATTTTACGGTTTTTATTTTTTTTAACGATATTACTTAATGTTACAAAAGAGGTTTACTTAATATAATGACAAATAATCCATTTTTCGCTAGTAAGTACATACTTATTGGAATCCCTGTATTTATTAATCAGCTCGCGATAATATTGGTTTTGTAATAAGTCTGCAAAATTCAAAGTAAATAATGTAGATTTTTATGGGTAAATCACCCCTTTCATCACCCTACGCCTATAAGTATTGCGATGTTGTAGCTAAGAACCAAGTTCCCATCTACTTCTATATGGGAATTCATTAAATTCGATTTAGCTATTAGGGCACGGAAGCGCAACAAACAAACTCACTTTCGCATCTATAATATTATATTATACTTACTAGTGATCCACTCGAGCATTGTACGGGCGAAATTTATTTATCGGGATAAAATATAGCTTGTCACTCGGACAAAATGTATTTAAATAAAGAAAAATGTTATAATAAATAATGTAGCTACCTTATGATGAATTAATATTTGAAACCGGTTCAGTAGTTTGACAGATTATTTGTTATAAACATACAAATCTTGCCTCTTTATAATATTAGTATAGATAGTTAGGATAAGATAAGTATTAAATTGATGAAAAAGATTTAAAAATAAAGTAAGTAATAGGTTTATTTGATTATATTTGTAAAAGTTACTTAGCATTTGTGCTTAACAGTGATACGCTATTCGGTATTTTTATAACAAAAAAAATTTGGAAAATAATTGCCATGACTGCACTACTGGGAGTACTCTTCATTCGAGCTTTACACTACCAATAGAAAAGGGTCGAACACAAAGTCTTTGACCTGTTAAATGTGAACGCTTTAAAAGAAAACTACAAAGAGATTGCTATGGTGCTGTACCTAACGTTATGAAAATTTTATTATGCGCCTTTAGTTTAATCAAATATTATAAACTTTGCTTTGGTGATTGCATAATTATTTAATTTAGTGATCTAAGGCAGTTGCCGCCATTGTCCAAAACAACAGATGGGAATTACTTCTTTCTTCAACCTGCGACATAAACGTCATTGATTGTTATTGTATATAGGGTGATTAAAAACATTTGAAGTTAACTTCTGGCATCTACATACCTATTGGGCTTCTGTGAATTATGTAGGTATATCAAATTATGAGACTAGGGACTGACACTGAATTTGTGTATATCACAATCTTAGACGTCCGGCATTGACATGACAATGCAGCCACTGCCAATTTTAAATAGTCGACGAATAAAAGTAAATGAATTTTATATTTACTGCTAAACTATTAAAAAAAAACATAAACAAAAGATGACTTTTTGAGTAAGTGCTAGTTTACTATAAAATTTATATACATTAGAGATATTTATGTAACGACTTGATTTAACTTCACACATTTTTGCGAAAATTGAGGCCCATCTGTAGCCTTGACCCCGCTGGTAAAGTCTCTATATGTCTTAATAAATCAATCTTTTAGACCACCGAAAGGTACATAATAATTACCGTGATATTAATTCCCTTACTGAAGTAACAAGACTACGGTATAAACCGTCTTAAAATACTAACTAAAAAGTGTGAAATAAAAAAGGTAAATTTAAAAAATCAAAAAACCCGACTGCATAATTATTCTTCAAATAAAAACTGAAAAGAAAAAAACAAGTCCAGTAGTCTTTAATTCTGTTATTAAGGAACAAAGCTACTTTAACAGTCGGGACCCACTGTTGAAAAATATTATGTATTCTTGAATATCTAATGGGTCCCGACTGTTAAAGTAGCTTTGTTCCTTATTAACAGAATTATAGACTACTGGACTTGTTTTTTTCTATTCGGGTCGGGTTTTTTGATTTTTTTAATAACCCGTTCTTATGCGCGAAAACTTAAGATAATCGTAGTTTCCCAAAACCTATCTAAACAGCCTATGAAGACTGTAGTATAAGTGGTATACACAGGTTTTCAAGGGTGCGCCTACTCAGAGGACTGGATACGAATCCCGCTGCGGCAAATGTTTGTATACGAGCGATATATGAATACGAGCATTTGTACATAAGTCATGGTTGTTTACATATTTCTAGAAAAATATAACAATATACATATCATTATTAAGTATTTCTGTTATTTAGGTACCCTAAGTAGTATCCCATAATACAAGCATTACAGTGCTTACTTTGGGGCTACGCTTCTTGGTATGAGTATTAGAAATATTTATCATTTTGGTCTCAGAGGTACGGAGGAGTATTGCGGCATGTTCGGCGCTGCGGACATCATCTGCTCGACGCTCGGCAAGGCGGTGAGCGGTGCGTCCGGCGGGTACACGACGGGCCCCAAAGAGCTCGTCACACTGTTGAGGAACGTCTCCAGGCCGTATCTGTTCTCCAACTCGCCGCCGCCGCCAGTTGTAGGCGCGGCGTTGAAGGTATAATGTTGGTCTTAGTACGGAGGTGCATTCAAATCATCTGCTCGACGCTCGGCAAGGCGGTGAGCGGTGCGTCCGGCGGGTACACGACGGGCCCCAAAGAGCTCGTCACACTGTTGAGGAACGTCTCCAGGCCGTATCTGTTCTCCAACTCGCCGCCGCCGCCAGTTGTAGGCGCGGCGTTGAAGGTATAATGTTGGTCTTAGTACGGAGGTGCATTCAAATCATCTGCTCGACGCTCGGCAAGGCGGTGAGCGGTGCATCCGGCGGGTACACGATGGGCCCCAAGGAGCTCGTCACGTTGTTGAGGAACGTCTCCAGGCCGTATCTGTTCTCCAACTCGCCGCCGCCGCGAGTTGTAGGCGCGGCGTTGAAGGTATAATGTTGGTTTTAGTACGAAGTAGTATTAACATCTGCATGACGCTCGGCAAGGCGGTGAGCGGCGTATCAGGTGGGTACACGACGGGCCCCAAGGAGCTCGTCACACTGTTGAGAAACGTCTCCAGGCCGTATCTGTTCTTCAACTCGCCGCCAACGCTGGTAGTGGGCGCGGCGTTAAAGATAACAATGAATTAAACTGATTATTTTATAAGTCTAAGGGCCTGTTTCACAATCCATAAGTAAAGTTTTAAGTAAGCTACGTCGAATGTACAGGTGCCTTCTGATTACTAAATATTGAAGATATTCAGAAAAATAGTACAGCGTTTCAAGCAATGTTAATTGAAACAAACACCCTATTAATCGATTGGGGGGTTACTTTTAGGCCCTTGACCTGGTGGAGCGTAGCGGCGATCTTCGGCAAAGACTTCGCGAAAACACGAGCGCATTCAGAACGGGACTACAGAAGGCAGGACTCACGGTAGCCGGCGACGACCACCCCATATGCCCCGTCATGGTGGGAGACGCACCATTGGCCGTGGAACTAGCGTCCGGCATGTTGGGTAACTCAAAGACATCATACTAATTCATTATAAAAATCGCGAGCCTTTAGCATACATATCAGATAATACAGAAGGCGGGATTCACTGCGGGATAGCTGGTGATGACCACCCCATATTCCCCGTCATGGTGGGAGACGCACCATTGGTCGTGGAACTAGCGTCCGGCATGTTGGGTAACTCGAAAGACATGTTACTAAATCTTTATAAAAATCGCGAGCCTTTAGCATACATATCAGATAATGCAGAATTCGGGATTCACGGTAGCTGGCGACGACCACCCCATATGCACCGTCATGGTGGGAGACGCACCATTGGCCGTGGAACTAGCGTCCGGCATATTGGGTAACTCAAAGACATCGTACTAAATAATTTCTATAATGATAGATCGATAGTAACCGCGAGCCTTTAGCATACATATCAGATATTGCAGAAGGCGGGACTCACGGTAGCTGGCGACGACCACCCCATATGCCCCTCTGTCATAGTGGGGGACGTGCCATTATTTATTTATTCATTTATTGCATATCACATTCACAGAAATAAGGTGGTACAGAAAAATACAGTTTTAGCCGTGGAACTAACACCCGGCATGTTGGGTAACTCGAGACATCATACTAAAATAGTTAATCGTATTTAAGATGGGGCTGTAGAAACAGGCGATGACACAACATCGAAATTAGAAAACTATCAAAAGGCGGGTATATATACCTTGTAAGAAGCACCCAGTGTGTTTACGATTTTTACCTATCACATGATGTAGAGTCGATGTAGAATGTATACCGATACTTTTATATAATATCCATTACCTCATGTCTTTAAGTTTTCAATTTATTTATTTTAAGCACATTTTTTTTATTTAATACCAGGTCTCCAGAAAAAGTTTATTGACTTTCTAAACGTCATATTTATCTGTCATTAAATGTCATTTACGTAGAAACTGGCACTCACATTCATAAAGATCCTTTTTGAACTGTACACAAAACTTTGTTTCTGAAATGTTTCTCTACACACGCCGTGTACTGCTCAAGTGGCTGTCGTACACAAAAGAAACAGGGCTACCTTCTAAACCTACGATCCAAGTGCAAGATGTCAAATATGGCATCGGGCTCGAAAAGCAAAAATGTTGTTGATGCAAATAAATATGTGTAGTGAAGCAGTTTTGTGTAGACGATTTTGTTGAATGTTAATATATTTTTCTGATTGTGTAGGGCAAAACACGCACTAGAAACCCGGCTTAAACCAATCACTGAAAAGGTTCAAATTCTCAAAACTTTTAATAATTTTTCTTTGACTAACACGTTCAAACAGCGTATCTAGCCTTGAATATTGACTTCTTGAGCATAAACCATAAACAACTTAGCCTACATACAAAAACGTCTACTGCCCGAGTTAGTTTGTCTATATGGTTTTAGTCAAGATGTCAATACCTAAATCAGTCTCACTTCGACCTGCAAAATATCAAATTCTTTTCCAGGGCTTGGAATCTACGTGATAGCGTTCAGTTATCCAGTAGTCCCGAAAGGCGCCGCTAGAGTGCGCGTACAATTGAGCGCGGCTCACACACCGCAGGACGTTGAGCGAGCTGTCAACGCTTTCGCCGAGGTCGGGAAGAAAATAGGCCTCGTCTAAATCTAATGCTGGAGACTAATATATATATGACTTAAAATGATATTTAAGGAGCTGGTGAATAAAACGGTAGAATTACGCTTCTGGTAAAACTACTTCTTTTGCAGTCCGGAGGTTTCCAGCCCGTTTAATTTGAATCTCAATAAATTTCAATCAAAACCGCCTAAAACAGTGTTAAAATTACAAAATTTATAAATTAAAAACCATGCCAAAAGCTCACTGTAGGTATGTCATTCAGTTTTATACAGCTCTTGTAAAAATGTATTTAATGTAATTATAATACCGTTTTGTTCGCCAACTCCTCATATATGATGAATGATGACTGTAATCGACCTTTTTTGGTAACATGATATGACCTATACAATCTTTACTACGGAATAGATAAAAAGGTTTGGGACGGCATGTTGTGGGCGTGACACGAGTGTATAAACATTTAAGCACTACAAAAGATCCATACAGGCAGAAGATCAGATTTCTCGTTTTTTTCACTGTGCGTGAAGTGTAGCAGCGATACTAGTTTTAATGCAAAATATGAATGATAGACTTTCCATACACATGGAACTTTTTATCTATAAATCATATTCATGATCAATATAGTTTATTGAATATGATTATCTATTCCGACATCTATACAAAATAAGAAAAAAATCCACTCGGACCAGGCAACAGACGGGACTACAACCCTCACCCTTCGTTATCCGGGCGAATGCACTAAACATTATACTACCGATGGCCGTGTCGAATTTACTCTAGCATTTCTTAGGGTGCAAGGCAGCACCTGGTCCACGTGGAATTTTTTTATAGTAATGTTTTCTTTAGATCTAAAGATCTGAGAATATATTGTATAGACATTTAGATTTAAAGATCTAGCAGTTAAATGCTTAAATCTATGTGTATATATGTAACTATAATCTCAGATGTTTGAATTTTTGTTATTGTAGAAAAGTATTGAAAGTGTTACAAGTTCAAGAATAAATCAATTGTATAATTAAATCTCTAATGGATACAATAGAGTCTTTTCAACACGATCCGTTCGAATGACCAAGTGAAAGATTTCAACAACAATTGTTGAATATTTTGTTAGTATGGTAGCTTCTATGACACTTAAAATTTCAATCTAAATATTTTTGAATGTGTTTGTTGTCTGATATAAATTTGAATTGTTGTCTGAATGTTAAAAAAAACAATAAATAACAAAATGTATGAAGCTAAACGTGTTATTATTACGCTATTGTCATATAGTCCAGGAAAAGAAGCATTTTGGCTCGCAATTTTTTCGTCCACCATGGATTTACTTGAAATTTTCACAAAAGGAAGGGAACTGTACAAGGATCATTTTCTATATCATGCCGCTGTACGCTAGAGCCTTGGGGTGGAAATTTTTTATTACATTTTAACTGTACGAATCGACGGAAAAAGTAATTCTAAGAAAAAAATGTTATACACGCTTTTTTCGTAAAACTAATATTTTTTGAGTTATTCAAAGTTGAAAGTAACAGATTTTTGACGAAAAATCGACTTTTAAATCTTTTGTTGCGAATAACTCTAAATATATGCATTTTATCAAAAAAAGTGTAGAGAGTCAAATTGTAGATTTTAAAGAAACAATAACAATGCGTCTTTTATAATTTGTCTATGACAAATATGAACTAAGATACAGCAAATTAATGCTAAGCTTATTTGTTTCTTAGGTTTTCACGCACATCACTCATTAAATAAAACTAGTTTTTACGGGTTAATGCACGAAACTTTATTTATTTATTGACGTTTCGCAGCCTTTTCAGGTCTGCATCGTCAGAATAATGATTTTTTTTATTTAAAATTGTCGAGCTACCTTCGAAAGACTTATATTGAAACTCAAAATTACAAACAAGAATTTTAAATAAAATACTTTATTAAGTAAATTAAATAATAAATTCATACATAGACAATAAAATTTTAAAAATCTTCCAATGTAATAACCGAACGCTCAATATAAGTCTTTCGAAGGTAGCTGGACAATTTTAAATAAAAAAAACATTATTCTGACGATGCAGACCTGAAAAGGCTGCGAAACGTCAATAAATAAATAAAGTTTCATGCATTAACCCGTAAAAACTAGTTTTATTTAATGCTAAGCTTGTTTCGTCAAATGCATAAATTGGAAGATTTACAGCGAAATAACGAGAAAATTTGCATTAATCGAAGAAAGCTCATAGAATCTTTTTTACCCGGCTGCGCAATGCAAGAGCGCGAAGCGCGACGCGCAGACAGGGTTATGTGTTTAACAGTCTATATATGTTTGTTTGTTCCTTTGTGGCACACTAGAGACCAAACGCCTGGACCGATTTTGATGATTCATACATCAATCGATTCGTCTCAATCATGGGAGTGCTACTAAAGATATGATAGTAATCAAAATTCAGTATGGGCAAAATTAGGCGCCATATTGTGACGAAGTAAAAAAAAAAGTTGACAAAATATGTCGAGTGGGGTATCACTGTCTAGATAATCAAAAATCATATTTAGGTTCCTAACACCATTTTTTATTTTATATGATTGTTTAGGATCTACAACGCTTTAAAGTTGTATATTAACCACTTACACTTTTAATTTCAATCTTACGTTTGTATGTTACTCTTTCACTTAAAAAATACTGAATGGATTTTAATGAAACTTAACAGTAATATAGCTCATATACGATAATTACATATATATAATAATTTATGTAGTTATTGAGTGAATTGGCCAATATAGAACAATAAGTGTCACATAAGACGGAAAAAAATCTCCCATCTGCGAGCCATTTTGGCCTGCACTGCAAAAACAATAAAAGTTACATGAATGTATTGTAGAGTGAAAATGTATCTCTTAAATAGTTCTAAAAAAAAGTCCGTGACACCATATATCTATTTTTAATGTGTAAGTCATTACCGCTAAAATAGTGAATCAAAACTAAAATATTATTTGATATCTATTTCCAAAATGCACATTTTGTATTAACAAATCATTTTTTATCAAAACAAATACTTTTATCGCTTTTGGTATTTAAAGACGATAAACTTTGCTTTTTACAAAATGTAATTTCGACAAATATTTAAAAAGTTACAACGATGACAAAGTGATAGCGCGGTGTACTATGTAAAAGAAAAAAAATTGGGGTATTCGCAGTATCTGATCCTATACGAAGTACTAACAATAAAACTGTGATACAGTTCCTTCTTATTAAATTTTAATGAAAAACTCAGAATTTTCCTGTTTTTCATTTTTTTAACGATATTACTTAATGTTACAAAAAAGGTTTACTTAATATAATGACAAATAACCCATTTTTTGCTAGTAAGTACATACTTATTGGAATCCCTGTATTTATTAATCAGCTCGCGATAATATTGGTTTTGTAATAATTCTGCAAAATTCAAAGTAAATAATGTAGATTTTTATAGGGAAATCACCCCATTCATCACCCTACGCCTATAAGTATTGCGATGTTGTAGCTAAGAACCAAGTTCCCATCTACTCCTATAGCGGAATTCATTATATTCGATTTAGCTATTAGGGCACGGAAGTGCAACAAACAAACTCACTTTCGCATCTATAATATTATATTATACTTACTAGTGATCCACCCAGGCATTGTACGGGCGAAATTTATTTATCGGGATAAAATATAGCCTATGTCACTCGGACAAAATGTATTTAAATAAAGAAAAATGTTATAATAAATAACGTAGCTACCTTATGATGAATTAATATTTGAAACCGGTTCAGTAGTTTGACAGATTATTTGTTACAAACATACAAATCTTGCCTCTTTATAATATTAGTATAGATAGTAAGGATAAGATAAGTATTTAATTGATGAAAAAGATTTAAAAATAAAGTAAGTAATAGGTTTATTTGATTATATTTGTAAAAGTTACTTAGCATTTGTGCTTAAACGTTATTCCATATTTTTTTAAACAAAAAAAAAATGGAAAATAATTGCCATGATTGCGCTACTGGGAGAACTCTTCATTCGAGCTTTATACTACCAATAAAAAAGGGTCGAACACAAAGTCTTTGACCTGTTAAATGTGAACGCTTTAAAAGAAAACTACAGAGAGAACTATTAATTGATAATAAATGAGATTGCTATGGAAATTTTATTATGCGCCTCTAGTTTAATCAAATATTATAAACTTTGCTTTGGTGATTGCATAATTATTTAATTAAGTGATTTAAGGCAGTTGCCACCATGGTCCAAAACAACAGAAGGGAATTACTGCTTTCTTCAACCTGCGACATAAAGTCATTGATTGGTATTGTATATAGGGTGATTAAAAACATTTGAAGTTAACTTCTGGCATCTACATATTGGGTTTCTGTGAATTATGTAGGTATATCAAATTATGAGACAAGGGACTGACACTGAATTTGTGTATATCACAATCTTAGACGTCCGGCATTGACATGACAATGCAGCCACTGCCAATTTTAAATAGTCGACGAATAAAAGTAAATGAGTTTTATATTTACTGCTAAACTATTAAAAAAAACATAAACAAAAGATGACTTTTTGATTAAGTGCTAGTTTACTGTAAAATTTACATACATTAGAGATATTTATGTTAACTACTTGATTTAACTTCACACATTTTTGCGAAAATTGAGGCCCATCTGTAGCCTTGACCCCGCTGGTAAAGTCTTTATCATCATCATCATCAGCCTATTAATGTCCCCACTGCTGGGGCACAGGCCTTCCCTATGGATGGAATAGGGAGATTGGGCCATGACCCACCACGCGGGCCCAGTGCGGATCGGCGGGTGCTAACGACTGCAGATGCAGCCGGGACCAACGGCTTAACGTGCCTTCCGAAGCACGAAGGAGCTCGAGATAGTAATTTTTGGTCACCCATCCAATAACCGACCACTGCGAAAGTTGCTTAAGTTCAACGATCGCAGCCGAACGCGCTAACCACTTGCGCCATCGAGCTTATATGTCTTAATAAATCAATCTTTTAGACCGACGCAAGGTACTTAATAATTCCCGCGATATTAATTCCCTTACTGAAGTAACAATACTACGGTATATACCGTCTTAAAATACTAACTAACTAAAAAGTGTGAAATAAAAAGGGTAAATTTAAAAAATCAAAAAACCCGACTGCTTAATTATACTTCAAATAAAAACTGAAAAGAAAAAAACAAGTCCAGTAGTCTATAATTCTGTTAATAAGGAACAAAGCTACTTTAACAGTCGGGACCCACTGTTGAAAAATATTATGTATTCTTGAATATCTAATGGGTCCCGACTGTTAAAGTAGCTTTGTTCCTTATTAACAGAATTATAGACTACTGGACTTGTTTTTTCTTTACAGTTTTTATTTGAAGTATAATTAAGCAGTCGGGTTTTTTGATTTTTTAAATTTACCTTTTTTTTAAAGTATTTAATCTAATTAAAACAAATATAAAACAATGTCTCTAGCATGAAAATTTACCCGCTTTTTTCTACGAAAAAAATCAGTGAAAACAACACCTAGAGTACCCTCTAATTAAAATTGATCTCCACCCTTTTGTAATTCTCTTTATATATGTACTATAATAATACACCCTCGAAGTTTGACCAATTTAAAGTGCCAAATTTTAGAAAAATTGGAGATTAAAGAGAACCCCGTTTTTTTTCAATGTCGTGTTTTTCACCATTTTCTTATAAATATCTCCCAAAATACTAAAGATACGAAAAAACGATATAGTTACTAAATTGTAGCTTTATTAATGACAAAAATTTCCAGTGCATATTTTTTGTACAGTGAATATTCGGCGAGATATAGCCGTTTAACACCTACATTTACATTCGAACATCACCTTATTCAAGCGCTCCCCATGTAAAAATAAGAAGAAATTTTTCTATCACCTAAAATGAAGGAGCTATGCTTAAAAAACCGATCAATTTTTTTTCGAAAAAAAATTGATCGGTTTTTTAAGCATAGCTCCTTCATTTTAGGTGATAACCTTGGTAAAAACCAAGGGTAGGTTGAAAGATTATGAAATTGTATCCTAAAGCATGAATCAATCATTTTTTAACTGTTTTTACCCATATTTAGGTTTATAATTTTATTTTTGATAATAAGGGATAGTTTTCACCCCTAAAAAACAAAAAGCGTACAACGGCACAATATAGAAAATGAAATAGAATAGAGGATGAAATAACCCTAATCCCAAATTTGGGTACAAATCGGTGCTGGACGAAAAAATTGCGAGGTTTTACCATTTTTTTTTAGCTTCATTTCCTGGACTAATATAGTTATAGCTACTCTTTATGCATAAGTCGAAACACAAGTAAAAGTAATATAGAACAAAATCAAAGAAGTTGGGTCAAAAATAAAACATTCAGCTGTGTAATAATAATTAATCTATTAACAATAATTTGTTACAAGTAATAAAACTCACACTCTTATTATTGACAACTTCAAACTTGCATTGCGATCACATATTCTCTAATCTCGAGTTAAACTATAAAATTATTAAATAATTTATTTACATTGGTATGTATTCACACTGTCTTTGTTTCTCACTAGCAACTCTGCAGCACATTATAAAAACTAAATTCATTGTTTGTTTATCTGCTGTTTTTGCAAATGTTCCGTAAATTGTTAAATCTAAAAATCTTAACTTTTTATTAAATTACCAAGGCAAAATTATACTACTGAGACCGAAAATAACTAGCAAAGAAAGTTATAATAGTAATACTTAAGTTTAAATATAAAATATATCCTATTGAGGTAAGTAGATAGATATGATTATTAAATATTTAGAATTAAATTCACAACAGTAAATCAAACTTCTCCTTAATCCCTAAAATGGCCAAAAAATATTCAAGATGCAGACATCTTAAACAGAAACCTTGACGAATCTGAAGATCAATTTTATTCACAATGCTAGAATCTCCACACCTACCATTACAAACATTTTATATTATCCCTTGTCGCTCCACTAAAGGTTTTAGACACTTCAATATGTAATATAGTATATAGTAGTGTTGCAGGATTATCGATTGTTCACCTTCTATACTATCGATAGTCGCTACTATTTCTGCATCACTTGTACCTATATAGGCATGACACAGTTTAAAGAGGTCTTCTTTCAATCTTGTTCTGATGTTATATTGAAGGGTAATGAGCTATCAAGGAGGGAATTAATAGTTATCTATTTGGATAAGCACTGAACAATGAACATGGGAGAACCTTAGAATATTGCGTTAAGTACTTAGAGGCTGCATAAAATACGGCGGTATTGGAATGTAATAGGTATTGTGCATTTCATAGGACCAGAGGATTTACATCGCACAACTCCACTTCTTTATAAAGGAAATTACCAATAGAGAAACCGCCTCCAAAAATCATCAAGAGGCTGCAGAAAATACGGCGGTATTGGAATGTAATAGGTATTGTGCATTTCATAGGACCAGAGGATTTACATCGCACAACTCCACTTCGTTATAAAGGAAATTACCAATAGAGAGACCGCCTCCAAAAATCATCAAGGGTACTGCAAAAGTAAACCAATCTATACTTAAACATAATGTATACCTATAAACATCTTGGGCGTTAATATTAACGAAACTCTCAGTCACGCATGCAAATCTCTAACGAAATAATTATACTAAAGTAAATAATAGTACGTATGTATCTTAAAACACAAAACAATCTTAGGAATTTTCGGCCTTAGCAGTTTCACGACAAAATTATTCTGTCTACCCACGTTTGACTACAATATGGCCGAATTCCCCCAACTCACTGTCCTTACGCCGACGCAATTTTCTTTCCCTAAAAATATCAACATTCGTATTACCTTAACAACTGCATTATTATTGGAGGGTATCCATTTCTATGACCCATCTACGCCTACTGTATTTGTCGTGTGGACGAAATATCTTCTCTGAGCAACCTCTCTCCTGTTGGCTTCGTATATTTAGTGTAATCAGATGTGTTCCATTGATCCCTCATTGTAAGACGATCGGCTTCGCCGGAGGTACTGAAAGGAAATGTAAGATGAAAATTGCTTTAAAATTTCTACATCATTAGCTTTTCTGTAATGGCAGGTACATCTTAAGACGAAACTATTACATGAATAATACAGATCGGTCATAAGAATATTCAACAACACTAACAGAATATAGGAGGAGCTCGATGGCGCAAGTGGTTAGCGCGTTCGGCTGCGATCGTTGAAGTTAAGCAACTTTCGCAGTGGTCGGTCATTGGATGGGTGACCAAAAATTTAATAACATGAGCTCCTCCGTGCTTCGGAAGGCACGTTAAGCCGTTGGTCCCGGCTGCATCTGCAGTCGTTAGCACCCACCAATCCGCACCCGGCCCGCGTGGTGGGTCATGGCCCAATCTCCCTATTCCATCCATAGGGAAGGCCTGTGCCCCAGCAGTGGGGACATTAATAGGCTGATGATGATGATGATGATAACAGAATATGTTTAGAAACCAACCATGCACTGAAATTATGGTCAAAACATAGTATTGGCTTTGTATTATTAAGCGTTCTTAATTATATGACCATCACTGTACATGTGCCTTACAGTGCTTTAATTTCCTAAGTAAATCTGCTGTGAATAATATAAATAGTAACGAGCTTAATATAGAACCTTGTGGCATCCCACGATTTTAACCTAGTTTCGATCTTATCGGCCGCCCATCACTAATCTGCACTTCTATGTATTGCATTCTGCTTGTTAGAAAAGACTTAACATTTCGCCACCCCGTAGTATATCAAGTATAAAAAATTACAGACAGATAGAGCGAGACGCAACATACGCGATTTCATAATATACGACAGATTACCGCAATTTTGCTACCACGTTTCGCCGCGTCAGTCTGCTAAAGGCGTAAAATCTCCAAATTGATTCCGATCAAGTTTTAGGCATGTAAACGTACCTGGTGGTGGAGTGGTGGTGGTTGTTGTGGTGGTGGTTGTCGAAGACGTGGTGCTACTTGAAGGGGCGGCCGTCGTCGTGGTCGGTGCTACCGTACTCGTCACCCTCTGCAAACGATAAGTTGTCGTGTAGCGACAAAATAAATCTAGTTAAATAAAAAAATAAAGGAAAAATCAAAAGAACAGTATAGGATATATATATTTACAAGATAAAGTATTTACAGATTAACAATAAAAAAAAGGGGTATGGTATGTGTGTGAAGTGGAAGTAGTGAAGTGGGCGTGGGTCGTCGGCGATCTTCTTCGTTGAGAATAGAGGGTCTGGAGGACGTGCTGCTGGCAGACGGGCGGCACTCCTAGGAGGCAGAAGCGCTCCTGTTCAGCCGTCTCAGGTCTTGGTCTGCCCTGGTAGTGGCTGGCGGCGCTGCTGGTAGGTTGGCCGGCGAATATCGGCCAGTGGCAGGAGTTGATGGAACGGCAGGAGTCGGTAGAAGGCGGGCTGAAGCAGTTGGAGGCTGGCCGAAGAAGCTGGAGTCCAGGCGGCAGTCCCACCGATGAGGTTGCGAGTACGTGAAGATGACGAGAAGAGTAGTAAAGTAGTAGAGTTAAGTAGTTATTTAGAGAGCCAATAGGTGCTATATAGCTTTGAGGTCTTTCTTGAGTCCCGGGGCAGTCGGCCCCGGGACAAGGCCTTTTATTAATTTAGAGCTCGGTAGCGAGCTATCAAAAGTTGGGTAGACAACTTTTGCCGTAGAATTGAATGAATGATCAGGGAGACTTGGCCTTTTATAGGTCCGGAACCATTTAAATTTAGACACGGTTCGAATCGAACTAAAAAGAATCAAAGTAGGTGGTCTGTGGAGGTTGAATAGTCATAGACGTAGTTGGAGAGAGTATCCGTGTCATGGGTAGCCATGGCAACGGATAAAAAACATTAAGTTGTCATAAATGTCAATAAAATAAATAAACTAAAAATAGATAAAATAGGAGGAAAATTAATGAAAACAAATAAATAACAGAATAAAGAGAAATGCCGGTAAGTGTCCAGCACTCTGGAATAGTGATTTTCAGTACAGATGGAATTATTATACGTATTTACAAAATGATGAATAGTGTGTGATATTTTTGAAATTATGTGTTTCCAGGAATACATAATAAAATATATGTTGATGCCTGATGAATATCGATGATGTTATATGATAAAATGTGCGAAATGGAACCTATGATAGTCGAAACCATGGGACGATCCCTGAGGTACGTTACAAAGTACACACAATTTATACCCGCTAAATCCCTAAACCTTAGTGGATTCTATAACGCTTAAAAACGTTTCCACAAATGTTTATGCTTTTCTTGTTGAATATCCTAAAAGCCAGGGAACTGTAACTCTTAAAAGGGAACATTTATTAGGCTTCATCATCAGTCTAATAAAATCATTCATGTACTCATCAGCGGCATAGCCCATTTCTATGGATGGTATAGGAAGATTGAGTGGTCATAAGCGGATGAACAACCACTGCAGATGTAACCAGGAATACCGGCTAAAATGCCTTCCAAAGCTCAGCTCAAGTTCGAAATAATACATTTATGGCCCATCCGATGACCGACAATCGCGAAAGTCCTTTAACTTCCACGAAAAAGACGCGCCATCGATCTCCTGAAAATCTACCATAGCAAGTAACTAGGATAGCGCGTATTATAAACATTAGCTTTTATGGCATAAAACTAGAATGAGTTATTTATAATAATAGTTAAGGCAAACAAGAATAAGGGATATCAATCTGTCGCGATACGAACCATAATTCCTACACCGGTTTATTTGTATTGTAACATAAGAATTTTTAATTTATACAAGAACAATATGTTTTACAACGTCTCATGAATAAACGTACTATTGCGTAGTAGCTGTTTTGAAGAATCTTAAACGTGGTGTGGGCGTTTTCGGTCTTTGACCTTAAATTAACATTTTACACATTGCATTAAATGTTGCCAAACATTATAATAGAATTCGTAATAGATTTATGTGAAAACTTTTTATATTAGGTACCTCGAAAGGATTTTAGAAGGACACCTTATACCTAAAAGGAAATTTACCCGAATAGCTGCCCAAGCATGAACTTTGACAGCTCCGTAAGCAGTTTCTATGAAAATTAAGCTGTGCCCATACCGAACAGAACAAACTAGCAACTTTCATACAAAGATGATGACGATAAGATTACGGCGGTATCATAATTCGTGCTTGGGCCTCTGAATCCGAATCAGAATTTAATCTTATAAACTCTTTCTATGTTATTAAGCCATGATCACCTTGTCAATAAGCACACGGTGCGATAGAAAAAATACTAACTATACATGCCATAAAATCTTAACTAATATAGTTATTATTATTGAATTATCATCACTTAAGACAGCACTGGTTTTTTCAATGTTGTTTCCTAAGCTTTCCTAGAACCATTAGACAGCATGAAACTGATATGTCACTTTAGTATTGATTTCATAAAATTACAATTTAAATAGAGTGCCTACGTGAGTATTTTTTGTTGAATGTTTTTCATTCTTGTGTCAGTCAGTCAGAAAGAACCTTAACCTTGACGTGACATTTACGAAGGTCTACGTAACAACTACTGAAGTTGACGTCAAAATAAAAAGCGGCAAACAAATTTGCACGCCGCAACTAGTGGTCATTAATTAATACGATTGACCTCGTTTCTATTAATAAATGTCCCCCTGACCACTAATTCATTCAGTTCCACATGGTTTCCACCATCCAGCGATAGGGGATTTAACTGATAAGTAAAATTAATACAATGTCGCCTATTATTTGGATGTTTAGGTATATCAGGGTCGGATATACAGGTAGGGTAAAAAAGGCGTATTTTAAAATCAGCGCCTGGGGCCACTTACGATTTGCACCAGCTCCCCTGGTTCTTTGCGTGTAATGTCTTTTACCTGGCCCCCGGGTCACAGCCTGGTCTGTCCGGCTTTAAATCAGACGCTGGTTTATGTGCAACCTATAGTTGTGTGTATCGTTAAAATATTTTGTTACGTCATCAGCCTATTAAAGTTTCCTAAGCAACAAACAAGCCTTCTCTACGGATGGAATAGAGAGAACAGAGCGAAGAATTACCACGCGGGCATTTGTAACGCGCGCATCCGGTAATCTGTTTCGGATATACCAGAGAATTTAGAACTTTTCCCCTTTTTTAGGAGACCCTAATCCTCTCCTCACCTTAAAGGAGAAATTTAAAAAAATGGATCTGCTATCAAATTCGAATTCAGGACAAAATATCCCATGATGAATCCCCGTGGTGGACCGCAATCACAAATCTGACCCTAGATTTGGATTTAACGACCACAAATTACTATATGACCAAGTTTCTAGAAAATATTTGGCGGACAATTCCATAGTTGTATAAAAGTAAACTATCAAACACAGAACCAAGAAGCTAACTTGTTCTTACGTCTGATAGGGGCGCTGCCTAGTTTTCATAGAAACTTTGACGTTGCGATACGTTACGGAGCTGTCAAAAATTCGTGCTTAGATCTCATATTTCATTATTTTTTCCAGCTCACTAAAACCAGACATCGAAGAACAGCAGATCTCATTAAATATGTAGACAACGTCAAACACTGGCAACTCGTATTCAAACATTGTATTATAATTTGTATGTGAAACAATACAATATAAAGACTGCCTTTGTAGGTTATACTGCTGTTTCGAATTAAGTGCTTTATTTAGCCTCTTAGAAACAAACACCAAAGTGATTCGCCCTCTAGCAAAGGATCTTCCTTCACTATCGATGTTGTTGCACTTAAAATTAACAATATAAGAGTAATCTTTAAATCTTCGTTAATAAGTACAGTACTATCAGATTATCTGGGGATATTTTTATAGCACAACATTCGGTGTAAAATACCAAAAGGAATTTCCAGTTTTTTTCTATATAATACGAAAACAAGAAATTCCACTTAACATTGTGATCAATTATATATGTCACGCAGAAGTCGACAGGTCATTTACACGATGTTGCTATCTTGAACCTTTGGTTAACAATCATTTTTTCTAATTCAAAAAACGAATAGCTAGTTTTGATCACTAACTATTTTGCCTATCACAGTATAATGGTAGTAATAAATCTTGTAAACACGCCCGTGCTAATGAAAAAGCTTTCGATCGTATTAGTCACTAAATACTGGTGTTATTTGCTACTTGTTTATCTTTCTGCCTTTATCGTACATAAACAACTTTTACTGAAGATAATATTAAAATTATGTTCGTACCCTTGGAAAGAGAAAGTAGAGTGATATTATCATGGGTCAATGGAGCTTACTATAGTAACTTTGCCTTGAAATCAATAAGAGAAATTACATATAATTATATATTTTTTTTTAATATTTTTTTTTTACACACACCAATTAGCTTAGCCCCAAAGTAAGCACTGTAAGGCTTGTGTTATGGGATGCTAGGGTAACGGATAGAATACATATATAAGTATATTTATATATAAATACATATTAAACATCCATGACTGGAGTACAAATGCTCGTATTCATCACACAAACATCTGCTCCCACCGGGATTCGAACCCGGGACCTCTCGAGTCGGCGACACCGTTAAACCCGGCGTACAAACCACTCGGCCACGGAGGTCGTCGAAATTCAAAGCGATTACTTCTAGGTTTCTATTCTACGCTTGTAGTAGCTCCTATGCTATACCGAGTGGGAGAAAACAGAATTCACCACTTCCACTACCATACACGCTAGGTTTGCAGACTGTCACTGTTGTTTCCGGGCAACATCTAAATAAACCAATGCCAAGTGTGTCAATATTTTGATCAAAATGAGGTATACCCCAACAAAAAGCTCTGAAATGTCTATAATTTGAAGAAAATATAGTAAAAGAAACTTACATTGAGCTCCTCTATTCTCGTCTGCAACGCTTGCATCCTCTGCGTGAGTGTGGCGTTCAGCGCGCCCAGCTGTTCCTTCAGCTCGCCGTCAAACTTGCTGTTAGCTGATATATTGGCGATCGTTTCGTTAGTCTTCGCCTCTAGTGCGTGGAGAAGAGTCTTAACCTCCTCCACGCCAGACGCCGCGGTAGCGGCCTGCTTGCGGGCCGAATTCAACGCGTCGTCAAACCCGTTGATCTGTGTAAGGAACATTATCAACAATTTCATAACACGGTAATTATATTGCTTCGTCATATTCGGGTTGGTGGTGTAGTACAGATTGAGAAACTGTACAATTAATGTTACCCTTTTTGAGGAAATATATTGGAACTTCAATCGTTTGTTGTTAGACGGTTCGTTGAAACTTTTGACTCTTGCCGTGTTGATACTTTGGCCAACTCTCTTCGCCAATTTATGCTAGTAAGAGAACGATAATATAGTTGTAGTACCATGTATTATTTTTAAATGGACACTTATTTTAAGTTGCCAATAATAACCAAGGACACGTAACTTAGCCATCAACCAACATGAAATTTTCTTCTCGCTAGGGCAACTGTTCATCAAATACAGTTGATGCTAGAGCACCCAAAGCTTCCAAAGTATAAGTATACTTATACTTTATAGTAAACGACAGCTATTCCGTCAGTCGCCACAATGCTTTTACCAACTACCTACAAGCCGTGCTATACTTTATAAATTTTCCGTTTACTTGCGCTTACCTGCGAACCGAAGTATGCGACAGTACGTTGCAACTCCGCCAGTCGCTTGGGCGTGTCGACCAACATGGGCTCCGCTGCTAGCTGCGCCGACACTTGGGCCAAGTCTCCCGTCGCTTGGCCAACTTTCTTCGCCAACTCTTGATGAGCATGTTCTAGATCCGTCAACCTTTTATTAAGATTGGTCGCATTCGCTTGTAGATCCTTCGCCTTTGAATGGTATAATTGCAATGAGTCACCTATGGTTTCGCTGCTGGTTATAACTGTGAACAAGAGATAAGAATGATTTATAATGTAAGGAGAACTAAAAATCAGTATGTATTTGACAATGACATTTCGCAGTCGCAAACTATTCCAATTCAATATTGGTTCGTGCTAAGGGTACAAGTATAAATGTTGAGATGATGGCTAATCGCATAATATGAAATGGAACAGAAAATTATATTGCGATGATCCCAAAATAAATTAAGAACAGGGCAGGTAAGTGAAGAGGTTGATCCTTCTTACGTACTGGTATAAGAAAGGATACATAAACTCACAGTAAACATTTATAAAAAATATTAATTTATACTTATTATGTTTTACAACACAATAATGGCGAAGCAGTACCGAGCTATAAGACACAACAATGATACAAAAGTGTTAATTGTGTGAAATATAATTGTATATGAAAGCATTGAAAAGTCTCTTCTTCAACCAGCTACATCTTGTAATAATAAACAAAGCATTTGCTATATATGTAGGTACTTATATTGTGCTTTAATATAGTAAGACAGAAAAAATAAAGTAATAAACTGTCACGCGTTAATAATATAACGCTTTGATCAAGAATGTGATAAAATTCAAACCAATTAATTAATTTGTATAAGTAATTGCAATCGATTACAATATCTGAAAATATGGAATATCTGAATACGCTTTGATATTGATCTAAACTTTTCACTTTACTATACCATTAAAAGAAGAAATTTTAATAATCATCAACTCCTGAACATTACCGTCGAAAAATATTACAAATACTAGGATTTCTATGAATTTATTCATGTTATAAAGGTACGATAAATAACAGCAATACAGGAATGCTGTCATAAAAATATTTAAGGTCATAAATTTAAATTACTTAAGATATGCTAATGGTAGCATGGAGGTATTCAATCAATTCCACGACCGTAGAAATTTTTCAATATGAAAATTCTTTTAGTAACAATGCCTGTGACAATGCTCTAAATTAAATGCTTTATTACCGAAAATTTTCCCGCCGGAAATAATAAACTAGTTGAAAGGAATTTCTAATAAAAGTAAAGAAAGAAAATAATCTATACGTGGTAGCTTGTCAAAAGCTTTTAATAATGTTTTTTTCTGTTATACTTTATGTTCATAAGCTGTGAGCTGCCCTAAGATATAAATAAATAAGTATTAAAGGATAAAAGTTACAGCGACGGCTAACATATGCTGAAATGTTCTCCAAAATGATATAAATGTTACTATACCTATTCATAACATATACATGCTGTTAAGTATATCGCGATTTGTTATAATGATAGAAATTACAGCAAATTTAAAACATAAATATTCCTTTGCGAAAACCGCAAAGAAAAAATAGTCCATCAGCATGTAAATATTACACATCCTTTCATCCAGCCGAAAATACATTGAACCAGTGGTTCAATCCAGTTAGAGGAGCCTAATAACACCGACACCAGCATAATAAAACAGTTCCTTTACTTATATTGTACCGCTTTTGCCCTAGCATGCGATATGATATATATCGCGTTTTTAGCACGCTTAATTGTCAGATTACCGTGGAGTTTCGACAGTTAGAAGCGATAAAAAAGTAATATAATGTAAATTGTAATGTGATATAATGTAAATTGTCATGCTACGGAGACTGGACGGAAGGCACGAATAAAATATTTACAAGGAGCCGGTAGTGGCGCTGGCAAATCAGCGAGATTTGCACCAGCTGATTTTTAAACCGCCAAATCAAAACACGGAACCAACATTTAAATGTTACTTATTACTTGAACTGAATACTGAATAACGCAAACTAATTTAAACTAAAGGAGATTGCTCAGCTTCCATACGTGTTTGGCCTAAAGACCAATAATCCTAAAAAAATGTTTCCTAGATTCGAAATCGAATTCGAAATTCGAAATTATATATAAATTATTGTAGTAACGAATATTATCGACTAATGTTGAACCATATAGTGTAAATGGTTTACAGAAATTCTCAGGGGTGTCCCCTGAGAACTTCTGTAAACCATATACACTGAATGATTTTGAGATTATATTTGCAAATAGGTACATAGGTATTAAAATAATAAAAAACAAATAAGTTATACAGTAAACAAGGGAAATCAAGTCAAGAACCGAAATTATGTATTAGATTCAGGTATTTAACAGATATTTGCCTGTTTTTAAAGTTAATGCACAAGAGTAACTTTTGAAATCAGATATCTTTTATGCATTTCCGGTTATAATAAGATACTCTGTGACAGAAACTGTGTGATGATTGTGAATGAGCCACAGATTAGAGAGAATTTTTAAACTCTCATTAACCAAAGAAAGCTAAGAGATTTAGGTTATACATCCATATCTTCAGATATAATATTTTAGGTTTTAGTGTACACATCTTATAATGTGTTTATGGAGGTGGTTGTTTTTGTGTTTGCGAAAAATGTATGGCAAGAGACTTTATGATGTCGCCTACCATCTATAATAATTGTCTTAGTACATTTGCATGTAGTGAAAATGATTAATCTTTTTTTTCTAGTAAACTTTTCTTTTCTTTAGATTTAAACATCTAGCAGTTAAATGCTTAAAAATAAATAAAAACATATGATTAAATATTGTTGTGGATATGACCACAGTGTAATAAAAAAAACTGTTTTATTTTATCAATCTTTACAAGACAGATTTGTTTTGATGTTATATAAACAACTTCGATCAGTCTTGGGCTGAATGTTACTACACCCATACCGTTAAAAGAGTTTCGTATGTTTTCGAAACCGGTAAAATTAAAAGTCCCTTTTAAAATGAATATATTATACAAAGGTTACCGTTAAAATCTAATGACTGTAAAATAAAGTATAAATTACCCCAAGAATCACCGTATATGTCAATATTTTTTGTACATTTGGGCCAATTTGAGCAATCTCCTTTGACACTAAGTAGTACACGCATTTCAATAGGGCTTTAAATGAGAGAATCATGCCAGAATAGGATTTGCAAAGCCCTATTCCTACTGATGAGCAAAGTTTTACGTAAAGTGGGACACGCGGTTGGTTCTCTTGGTTAATTTTCAATCGAGAGTTGTTTTAAGTTGTATAAATAACTGTTTTCAACAGTTGAAAAATGTCAGGAAACTTAACCAGCGATACACAAATTAAGATTAATAGCAACACACTAAGGTCGGTATTTTGGAAAATGGACTTCGCACCCTACACTTAGGTATCAAATAGAGTAGTTAATCATCACCACCAGCCTATTAATGTCCCCACTGCTGAAGAGCAGGCCGTACCTATGGATGGAATAGAAAGATTGAGTCATGAGCCCATGACGCAACACGCGGGCCCAATGCGGATCGGTGGGTGCTACGATCGTAGTGCAGCCGGGACCAACGGCTTAAGGTGCCTTCCGAAGCACGAAGGAGCTCGAGATAATAAGTTTTTGGAAACCCATCCAATGACCGACCGTTGCGAAGGTTGCTTTTCTTCCGCGATAGCAGCCGAACGCGCTGTCCATTTGCGCCTCTACTTTAAAATTGCCAACCAAGACTGACGAAAAACTGACATGCCTGTCTCCTGACAATGACTGATATTAAATCATTGACGTATTATATTTATAATGATTTGTGTAATGCGAATCACGTTATGAAAGAAGTAGTATAAGAACAATACATGACCATTGACTACTATAAAAAATATATTATGGATGTTTTATCAATTCTTCATTCATATATCGTCAGTCAACTAGTTTAGTTAGTAGTAACGGCGTATGAAATGAATCATTTCGGTTAGACTTTGATAAATGCTCACCTTATTTGTAGATCTTTTCTCTAGCACCAGCAGACTAGAACTAGATACTAGATGAACGAACACGACACTAGAAAAACGGTCGAATTCAGTTTTTTTTGTAAATGACACACATACTATACTCAGTATACTTAGAGTATCACACAAAATAATATCGAGTTGACCAGATTTATTTTGTTATGAATTCCACGAAATCACGGTTAAACGGTTTCATATGATAAGGAGACATCATGTCGTTATTTTTTTTATAAAGAGCTGAATATGTGGGGATGTAGGCAGCCCTTGTCCAGTAATGGATCTCGGTTCAGTAAGGATGACTAGAAGGATTGGAAATAATTCTTAATACTTATTTACTCAGATCATGTTTTCTTCCATTTGACAAGAGATTTTAGGTCGTGTCCAACTAAGTTCAAACAATGTTTGCGTAGGTGGTGAACCGGTGGTTGCATGCAGATTTGAGTATGATGAATTATACGCGTATAGTTAAGTACTTACGTAGTTTGCACCCACGCAATTCAGAATATTGTGATACTGATAGATAGTTAGTATTCATTTATGTGCTTATAAACTTTGGACGATGTTGTTCATACGACTTTTACTTATTTGAACTTTAAAGGGTTTTTATGTGAATTTGAAAAGTCCAGATCATATAGAATTGAGTGACTACTGAAATGATCTATGTCCGTTTTAGACGACAATTGCCTGAGCTTCATTCCAGTAATTGGAAGTTCGTTTAGGATAATCCAAATTAATTTTAAAAACCTATTGATATTTTTAAATCGTGAATCGTCTGCCTTGAAGGCAATAAAAAATCCAGTCTGATAAAACGAGAAGACCACAAAGGAGTTTAAAAGATGAAGACTACATTTGCTAAAAGAGTAGAAGCTACATTTGGAAAAGCGGTAATGAAACGTGCTACTATTAATACAGTAGAACCCGTTTAATACGATCACGCTTAATACGATTTCTCGCATAATACGCCATTTTGCGTCAATCCCTGCATCTTGAGACCCATGTTTTCATACATTACTTAACGCTTAATACAATTCGTCATCCCGTTTAATACGCCTAAATCGCCAACATGTACCACATATATTACCTCTTGATAACACACAAGCAGAGGCCCTAAGTGATTACCTATTGATAAAAAACAAGAAGAGGCCCTAAGTGATCATGTTGCCGCTATATAACTTCTTTGAATCAAAGGGAAGACGCACTGCAAAAGTTAAATTGTGTTAAAATAAATTGCTAAAGCCTCAAAATCTTTAATGTCATACATTTTTTATAATTTTAAATGTTGTACATTTAATATGTCAATACTTACATTCGAAATAATAAAAGAACATAATTATTATTTATATGTAGTACGTTTTCTTCCCTATCCCGCATAATACGCTTTCCCGCTTAAGACGCGATTTTGGTTGAGTCCTTGTGAAATCGTCTTAAAAGGGTTTTACTGTATAAGAAAATTGGATACAAGGGTATCGCTCGAGCAAATTGGATATTGACATTAAAAATTAATTTGTTTTACGTTCAATCGCATACCAAATTCATTTATAATTTCGGATTGTTATTAATTAAATATTGTTCAGATTATTTTGTCTCTATTTTTGGGAAACCCCAATTCTCCATTGCACGCAGACTAATGTTGATGAAGTTACTCTTACTCATTATTTTTTTTAAAAAATGTCAGAACGAACAATAACCTATTACACGATCAGGAATTAATCCGCGCAATGCATTAATGTGTCACATATTTAGTAAATAACTAACTAGACAACAAAAACGTTCTGCTTATTAATATCTAAATAATGTCATAATCTAAGTGTGAATGAATAATAAAAAAAATTAAAGTAAAAAGCCTACGTATCAGCTTTAGTGATGTTAGTATTGCTAGCAACAACAAACGCGGCCTTTTAATTGCAAACAAAACCCACGAGACGTTTTGGCATCAGTAACAAAACAAACCTTTGTCCATTTCGACGCGAAGGGAGCCAATCTGCCGCCTGACGTCGACGAACAGCCACAGGACGGTGGCGGCAGAAACGACGCACACGCATAACGCAAGTCCAGCGGCGAGGCGTACGAAGGGGCGCGTACGACGGCGGCGAGATGTTCTCCTACCCCACGGTTCCCCTTCGTCGCTCGACGCGGACAGCAATCTGCCCCCTCTAGCCACCCCGCCACCGACCAATGCGTCCAGCTCTCTCCTCTTCCGCATCTTCTTGCCCACACGCAGCGGCACCGCCGCGTGCACCGCACTCTCCATCCTGGCACGCGAACGCTACCGCGCTCGCATCCGCTCAAACTGTCGCGCCTCACTTTCACTTATCCACACGCGCGCACCACTTTGAGTCCGCTATGCGAATGAGCAACAAGTTATATGAATTTATTTATAATCACGGTCACCTTTGCCTTAAGTTGAGACCAATTGCAGGTTAATGCTACTAGGAAACATCTTAGCACTGGGATAATAGTTTGTAGCGTCTAGTACTGTCTATCTGAGTGATGTTCTCGTATCTACTACGCAACCTGATAACAAAGAACAATGTCGAACGAATTAAAAAAAATATAATACCGTATTTCCTGAGTTTATCACGATACCTAATCTTTCGAAACCGGTTGCTCAGATATGCTATAAAACCGTAATAATCAATTCGTATCACTTTATATATTTTGACATTTAAACGATATATACCTTACTTACTATTTTACGAATAGTTTCTGTTATGTTAAAGTTATATTTTGTTTAATTACCAACGTGATTTATATAATGGGTAAAGTGGCTTAAAATTATTTTATTATCTAAGTATGGTCTACAAAATTATATTCCTTGAAGTTCGCGGAAACCACAAGGTTTTATTTCAGCATTTATGTTTTGATATATATAATCGTTACTAAAATACGTGAAGTACCTACTAAAAATTACTGAATGCCCAAATGGTTGCAATATTTTCTTCACTAAACAAATATGTTGAAAACAAACACTATAATTTCATATTTCTGTTTCAGACACAAGACATTGACTGTACCATAGATTTATTAGACGAGGAACTGTTATGTAAGGCCATTTACGCGTTGACATTGAAATTATAAACCTTGATTTTTGAACTGTATCAGATTGGTTGGAGATCTACTTTCATTTAATTACATAGTTATGAAGCATTAGCACAGCCTATCCTAGCCTACCTAAAACTAGAAAAATCTCAATCCAGAGACAATTTACAGGCTAAAAAAGTAATTAAAATCTCCAATGAAAGTTGAAAATTCCTTGCTAATATTTGGTAAAAGAATAGCTTAAATACATAAAATTTACCTAATAAGTAGCAATTATTTGTATAGTAATATTGTTCACTAGGAGAGCAGATAATGACATAAATACAGAGTCGTGTAGATGACCTAGCCAATGTTGAGGACTAAGGCAGTAGTACCAAACGTTTTAACAATCGCAAAAGGTCACCTGGTGACTATATTTTATTTTCCAATGCATTGAGACCGCATGCCGTGCATTTAAAACCGTTTAAGTCTGTTATAATGTACATACATTTACAGTGTTTTCAACACAAATGATTTCCTTAAACTTTCACCTTGATTCTGGAGGTAAATATAGTAATTCCTTGAAACTAAAAACTTAACAGACTGTAAATTCTGATTCAATAGTAGCAGTGGAGTAAACTTTGAATCTTGACATTATTATAAATATATCAAGCTAATTTTATAAGCTATTTTGTGTCAAAATCTGCTAATTGCTGTCAAAGTTATCTACGAATTGACCGTGAATTACTTAAGAGTCAATCATTTGTAATTCTATTTCATAAAAGTATAGCAATCCTGAAAGAAGGAATTTAAATTTTATAAGAGATGATCTTGAAGTTCGTGTGGAACTATGGTAGCCAGTTTATCATGGTTGGATTTATCATTATTTATCTATAAAACATGGACAAAACATATCTAGGTTGATTAAACAGTCAAACAATCAGTTTAAATACCTAACATCTACCTATATCGTTGGCCTATCGGTAAGCTCGTTGACTTTTTAATTAGTACGATTGATACAATCTTCATACAAACAAGCGAAAGATAATATTGCCAATTCTAAGAAACGTGACTTGAAAAATATTCTACTAATGTGGTAAAACTAAGGAAATACGTATCCGTTTAAGATATCTTCATAGCCAATATGCTCTTAACCATCCAGACACTAGCGATTAGCATCATGTATTTATAATTTAACATTGCTGACCGCACTCGGACACGTTGTTAAAACGTAAAGCTTCAACTAGTAACATTTTATATTAATCCATTATTACTTACTTACTTCATTATTACTTAACGTTATTACGGAGCAAAGATAGTGTCAGCACCAACTTAAAAAAAAAAAGTAAGTAGACATCTCTAAGTGCTTCGTAAAACATTTTTTAAGATCATTTTTGTTCAATATTTCTCACAGGAATAGAAAAGTAAATAAATTAAAAAGCACTGATGCAAAAGTTAACACCACGTCAGTTATCCCGTAGTTACGTCAATGGCGACGCGCAAGGTGTGTTTGTAGTTTCTCCAGGGCGACCCGTATCGACCTGACACAGCTAGGGCATTGAATGGACATCACGCATGCGTATCAGCTAGATAAGCCTTGTACTTCGTACGTCCTACGATAGGCATGCAGCGCGAATACTGTCCGACCACTAGATTATGCATAAAGTAAAGAAGGACAATTTTGAAAACCTCTTTGCTATAGTCAAGTTATTGTACATTTTAAGAAGTTTCCCGGTCTTGTTATATTAGTTTGCAGTTTCATTCCTTTTGTAGTTTTGATTTCAAAAGATAAAGATTTTGACTTAAAATACTTAAATTTTCTACAGTTGAATAACTTCATTATTTGAAATACAATATCTTAGCATGAATAAAGAAGCGAGTACAATTTGCTGTAAATTCAGCGATATTACAAAAAGACTACTATGAAACTCAAAGGCTATGTATGTTAAAGGCCAAAATCTATAACCGAGCTGTGTTTATTCGGCTGTATTTAGCACACAGCTTACTACATACATGAAATAGGGATTAGGAGATACTTAATTGCATTTAACATCAACATTTATCATCAGTCGTAAACAAGCACAGAAACTGTAGGTTCAGCAAAGACAAACAGTATTATTGATTCACCGATAACGGATTACACTGTAATGGGAAACTTTTAAATGGGTAATATTTTGTCTCACACTATTCACAATAACAATCTTAAGGAATGCCAAGAGGCAACGGTCCACGGAGACTGTGCGACCAGAACTAATGTGACGTCACGCAGGCGCGGCGACGCATGCGTGCAAAAACACCGCATAACATAAGCCCCATCTAAACGAGATTAGATAGTGGACGGATCATTAGTAACATTTTAAGAGATTTATATTCGGGGATCTTTGCTATTCTCGCCTCTGGGTAGGGTCTCAGTATATAATATTCTGTTTTAAAGGGGTTCTTATCCCGGCCGATATCAAGCCATGATTTTTAACGTTGACAAAGTTTCTATAATATCACAGCACAGCAAACATAAGCATAGCATAATCTTTTTTAACCGACCTAAAAATAATAGCGATTACCTCTATCTTTTTTTCTTAGTCTATCAGGTAGATTATCAACAAGTATTAGACACATATTTTTTCTTTATTTCTATAATCAAAACATTACAGATATATATTGATTTGAAATGTCGCATGACGTCATGTTTTGGTACAATTTTAACCAGAAAATATAAAAAGAAATAAAAACTAATACGTTTTCACTTCTATAAGTCTTTTAGGTATTTTTGAAGTTCGGAAGCTGTGCAAGTTTCATTAATTCGCTAGGTTGAGAATATTTTGACAGTAGTTTTTATAGTTCAAGGGTGTAAAATTGCCATTCTTTCATCATCATATCAACAGCCGTACGATGCCCACTGCTGAGCATAGGCTTCTAAGGATCTACACACCGATCGCGGTTCTGAGCATCTCTCATCCATCAGCATTCCGCGACTTTCACTAGATTGTTGGTCCACCTCGTGGATGGCCTGCCCACTGAACGTCGTCCGGTGCGTGCTCGCCAATCGAGAACCTTTCCGGCTAAATGACCATCCGTTTTCCTCGCTACGTGTCCTGCGCATTGTCGAGCGATATCGGTTACTTTAGTTCCCTATGGATTTCCTTATTTCTGATTCTAACGCGTAGGGAAATACCGAACATCACTATCCATTGCTTGCCGTGTGACCCCGAGCTCTCTTATGAGACGAGTCGACACCGTTTCGTTTCCGTAGATCATCAGTAGCAACGTACACTCGACAAAGACTTTAATCTTGAGACTGTAACGACGTATTTGGGACGCGAAGATTTTCCGTAGCTTCCCAAATGCTACCCAAGCCGAGCTGGATTCGACGGGAGATCTCTTTTCAAAGTTGAACTTTTACCTAACTGGACTGTTTGACCCAGGTATATGTAATGGTCAACAGTTTCGAGTGTAATGTTCCCAATAATAGCATTCAACATGATTTTTGTCTTGTTGAATTAAGAGGGGAAAATAGGATTTGGGAGTTGGTAAGGGGAAAACATAATCATTCAAAAAAGTTTGATTTACATTTTCGGTCTACGAATTTATTAGGGTTTACACCTACAAAGTGGTACTTACCAAAACCTGAATTCTTACTTTTGTATATATCATATATGTATTTAAAATTTAATTCTTATAAAATTTAACTAAGACCATTTACTTTTTTGCATTGTATTTTTTTTATTCTTTACCTTAGGGGTCTGTGCACATCAAAATGCCAATGCTCTTATTTTGGATACGCACGAAAACAAAACAAATCCTAACCATCCTAGTTTTATGGCTATAAAAAGTACTGTTGCCATTTATCTTGTAAAGGGCTTCAAATTTCAATGATTCAGATGCTGTTTCCAGTAAAGGGTAGCAGCGAAGAGTCTTGGGATAGATGTAACGTTATGTCATTAACCATGGCATTATCAACAAAATTATTAAAACAAAAAAATGTTCATTAAAAATATACTATAATAATTAATAATAATAAAGCCTTTTAGTTAATCCATATATGTTATTTACATTTTGGAGCAGTTGTTAGTTGTAAATCTTAATTGTTAAGTTGTTAGTATTAGTTTTTATTCAGGTGCATGGATCCCTCTTTAATTATTTTATTTGTAGGATACAAATGAATATGTCTCCAGTTCAAAATAATTCACTAGGTAATTAAGCTCGCCAAGGGCTAGGTCTGAGTAACTACTCTTTAAAACAAGTCTATCTGGAATAGTATATTATTATATTGCACATAATATTTAATCTGTTTATAGGTAAAGCTTTGTCCTATGTGAGCGGTATATACGTAGGTATGTTGTCATGCAATGCAATACTGTGGCAATACAGTGCGATACATTACGAAAATATAGCTTTATGTAACTATTAACATTGTTTCACAAAGTCAACATAATAATGATAATAGTGACTAATTATTACTAAAATTCTTGTTGCTTAAATGTAATTTACAAGAATTTTAGTAATGATTAAAGCGGGTCAACAGGTAATGTTAGGTTATTAAAAAGGGAATTTGATAACAATAAAAATCAGTTCTCCAAGAATATTAATGTAAAAGTAGATCTGAGTATGTGGTTTAAAGGAGAATGCCCAAACATAGGTCCCTTATGTGGTATCTTGTGGCTCATTCAAATATGTATCTAAAAATCGGATTATTTTTTTTATGGTCGTGATATTTATATTTTAAGTTCATTTAAAGTCAAACTCAGATTTGGAGTTGTTGCCATACATGTTGATAGACCCAAGTTACCATTTGTGTACTGCTTGGGTTGGCATGGCACTGACACCAAATGTTAATTTGAATTTAAATATAGATATATAGTTTTATTTTATTTATTCAAGCAATAAATGAGCAAGTGATACTTTGATGTCACAAGTTCATCACAGGCCATATATGTGCTTGATATTCTTAATAAATAAAAAAATTAAGGGAATCATCTATATGCCTTTTTTAGCTAAAATATCTTGAACAGGTGATAGGCAAAACTGTGTGTTAATTCTAATGAGCATACAAGAAGCTTGTTTCAAATAAGCTATCACTTAGTGATTGAGTTATCTTACTTACCTTTGGCAATATCCATGCGCATTACTGATACTTGATCGTAGAGTGTAGCACATATCCAGGTAAGCATAAGCAGCCAAAGAAGAAGAGTACCACGAACAGCCCATCTTAATGCACATCGGACTTCTGATCCTATGCTTGGTTCAGGGACCTTTGGGGTAGAGCCTCTATTGCGATCTCTCCTGAAAAAGAACAATATCAACAATTTTATACGGACATTATTAATTAAATATTATGTAAATGTCTACATAAAAATAACATACTTTAGATTCATTTTTAATTAAATGTAAAACTTTAGATTTCATGCATTGATGTAAGAAACTATATTAGCCATATTTAACTTGAAGGTATTATAAGAATCATAAATTTACCTAGAATACAGGGTTAAATATCAATGTTGTGACAGAAATTGAGCTTATATACCTTGTTACTTTCTTTTTTCTACTAGGAATGATCTCTAAATGTAAATCTTCTGATTCTTCATCGCTTGACAAATCCAAAAGTCGAAAGTTTTCCTTGTCGACTTTGCTAGGTAGTGGCATTTTGTATAGTTTTTAATATACAACATGCTACACGTTAGCCCCGCAAATTGAATTAAATATTGAAGCTACAATTAGTTTTAGATTTACAGAACTTCAATGAAAAAGAAAGGCCGTACCCTCAAGAAATTAATTCCTTTTTAACTTTGTAATGAATATTAGCAAACTAAAAGAATATGAAAAGTACTTATTTAAATAAAAATGAAACAAATAGCCTGAGAAAATTTAGAACTCCCCGTTGTCGTGTGCTGTCATTTTTTTGACGTTTAGGTCTGTTTTTTTTTTTTTTTTAAATTTATTCTGGCCGTGGATACTTTGTCCTTTAGCCGAAATCATTTAAACATATAACATAAATATAACGAAACAGAAATAGGAGTGTAAAATATTAAAATTAGCAAACAAATACAATGCATTACATATCTTATACAGGTATAACATAAACCAAAAAAAGAATGTAAACAAAACGCAAGTCAACTTTCAATAACAAATTAAAAAAAAATAACATCTAAACTACAACTTACCTACTACTAACTTGTTTATGAAATTAAAATCACCTAAACTATTTACAAAATATTTACAGTATTACACACAAACTGGAAAACAGGTGGGAAAAAACTTGGTTCCGATAGAATGTCTATAATGAGGCGGGGAACACTTCGTTGCAATTCTTCGGAGATACTTTCAAGTTGGCTGACAAGTAACAATCTCTGGATCCCAAAAGCAGAGCAGGAAAAGATTAAATGTTCAATATCCGCATTCTCTTGATGACAATGTGGGCACCGATTATCAGTTCTTATTTTCAGCCTGTAGAGGTGACTAGGCACTAAGCAATGGCCAAACCGTAACCTGTTCACTGTAGTTATAAATTTTCTTGAGTCACCAATTCTTAAATTGTACCAAGGTTTTACTGGCATAGTTTTTTGAATACTAGCATACCAAGTTCCTTTAGTCTCTTTAATGGTATCCCAATAAGTTGACCATATGCTTCTAATATTTTCTGCTAAACCTTGGTAATAGTCAGTGAATGGAACTTTAAATTGTTCAGTGTGATCCTCATCATATCCAGCAGAGAGAGCTTTATCAATAATCTCATTCCCTGTAATACCTCTGTGGGAGGGTACCCAAGTAAATTCCACCTTCTTTCCTGTATTACTTATTTCATATAATAGGTCCTTAATACTATACACTACATAGTTTAACTTAAAGTCTACACGGCATCCTAATAAAGCTAAAAGGATGCTTTTACAGTCACTGACAATTAAAAAATCATTATAATTATTTACAGTTTTCATGTACTTTAAGGCCTGCAGGATAGCATAAGCTTCTGCTGTAAAAACACAGGCAGTTCTATTTAAATCAAACACCTTACAAATTTTAGCCTGTGGGTCAAAAAAACCAGATCTAACCCATTTTTCACACTTAGAGCCATCAGTAAAAATCTTATATGAATTGGTTTTATCCTGTACAAAATGTAAATAATCAAAATTATCAGTAATGTTAGGCAAGTGAATAGAACTCTGTAGAAAAAGTGCTTTAAAGTTACATTTATATAAGGGCCAAATATTATCAGTACATATATACATATTTACACAACTGTTTTGCACTTTTGTCATAATTGAACACATCTCTGGTGATAATCCATGTATTATAGAATTTGCAGTTACAATCGGACCATCTACATTTGCTGCCATTATTGGAGGAAGTGTCAAGTTATTCTTTACAAGTGATTTATTTGAAAAAATGACCTTAATGCAGAATTTTTGGGCAAGAAAGAATCGTCTTAATGACAATGGAGGTATGCATGCTTCGATTTCCAGGGCATTTATTGGAGTAGTTCTCATGGCACCAGTGATAATTCTTAATGCAATGTTTTGTACAACATCTAATTTTTTAAGTAATGTTGAACTAGAGTTCATGTAAGCCAAACAACTGTAGTCAAAATGACTGCGTACTATACTTTTGTATAGTGTGGACAGAATTCTGGGATCAGCACCCCAAGAAACTCCTGCTAAACAACGTAACAAGTTTATACCCCTAAGCGCATTTTTAATCACATAATTTATGTGCTGTTCAAATTTTAATTTCGTGTCAATGATAACACCTAAAAATTTATGATTATTTGTGGTAGGAATTCTGATGTTATCATATTTTATATCAACATTAAAATCATGACTACCAAAAACCATAACATGACTTTTGGATGTATTTATACTCAATTTGAGCTCATTCTCATAGTATGTTTGTAGTTGTTGTAAAGCTAAATTGAGTTTTGATTGGGCTAAACCAATATTTCTATCCACACTATACAGAAGCAAATCATCTGCAAATTGCAGAATCTTAATATTACTAGTAATTCTGTGCATTAATCTAGAGGAATATAAATTGTACAAAATAGGAGATAAACAGGCTCCCTGCATAAGACCCTTAAATGATTTTTTAGGGCCATGTAAAATATTATTAAATTTAACATGAACTGTTCTGTTAAAAAAGAGATTAAAAATCCATTCTATTAATTTTCCAGGAATACCAATATCAGCCAAGACATGACAAAGCTTGTGTAGACAGACATTGTCATAAGCACCCTGTACATCTAAGAAGACACACAATGCATTGCTACGACCTAACATACATTTTTTAATATCAGCCAGAAAGGTCACAAAGCTTTCTGCAGCACTTCGACCACGTCGAAAGCCAAATTGATTAACTGGTAAGAGATTGTGGGTTTCTACAAAATAGTCTAAACGTGTTTTTATCATATGTTCGAAAAGTTTGCCCATACAAGAAGATAATGATATTGGTCTATATGAATTATGATGATTGGCTGGTTTATCAGGTTTTAAGATTGGTATTATACATTGGCTTTTCCAAGAAATGGGAATTTGTTGGTTTTGCCATAATAAATTGTAAATTTGTAAGAGAATTAATTTAGCAGATTTGTGAAGATTTTTAATCATTATGTATGGAATGTTGTCTAAACCAGGTGCAGAATCTTTTCTTGAACTAATGGCTACTACAAATTCATCCCACTGGAAGGGTTCTAATAAGAATTGTGTTTCTGATCTGTGGTTATTAGATTCAAAAATATGTGTGATACTTTCATTGTGGTTAGCTGGTTCTGAGAATTTATCTATGAAATTTGGTATCCATTCATCTCTTTTAGAACTAAATTTAGAATTTATACCTTTAAACCTTCTGATGAAATTCCATATGCGAGTAATGGGAGTGTATCTATTAAAAGAGTGACATAAATTATGCCAGCTGGTCTTTTTTTCCTCTTTTAATATACGCTTTTTCAAAGCATCCAGTTTTTTATAATTAATGTAGCTCTCTAATGTACCATTATTTCTGTATGTTTGCAGGGCTTTATGAGAGTCTTGGACAACATTAGCACATCTGGAATTCCACCAAGGAGCTGGTCTGTGGATTTTCTGACCGTCCCTACTTTTATATACAGGTATGCATTCATTTCTAAGCATATCTAAAATTAAGCAAAAGTTGTCATATGTTATAATGGCATTGTCAGTATTAACAGCAAAATCTTTAAAGTATTCTTCAGATTTACTATAATATTTTAACCAATCAGCTTTCTTGTAAAGGAACTTTTCAATATTTTCATTAACTTGATATAATGATGGAGATATTTTAATATCAATGAATGTAGGATAATGCAAACTACCTAGTGGGTCATTACCCACTCGCCATTCACATAAAGGAGCAAGACCTGGGCTTATAGAACTTACATCAATAGCAGAGCTATTTCTAGTGGGCGACTGAACAGTTGTGTGCTCACCAGTGTTTAAAATACATAAATCATTGTCATCAAATATTTCAAACAGTTGTCTGCCTCTGGAGTTTGTACTCAGAGAACCAAACGCTATATGATGGGCATTGAAATCACCCGAAATTAAACAGGGCTTTGGAAGGTTTCTAATGATATTTTCAAGTTTTCTAAACCTTGTTCTATTTTCATTTCCAGGAGGACAGTAAACACATAAAATGGAAAGAGGGCCTCTATGAGTTTGAAGAGAAATTGCAATGCACTGGATGTCTTCATAGAAAGGAATTGATAATTCATTAAAGTTTATGGAGTTTTTCAATAAAATACCTACACCACCATGTTCATTTTTAGCATTTTTATTTAAAAGCATATATCCTGGAAAATTAACTTTTGGGGAAGACTTTTTTAACCATGTTTCATTTAACAAGCACACATCAATATTATTAATGTTTAACAATGAATTAAGTAGTGGCTTTTTGTTATTAATACTTTGTATATTATGTTGTAAAATTCGCAATAAATCCATTAAGAATTGAGTATTTTAAGAAATGTTTCTTTAATGTGTGCTACAGATTTTACTGAATTTGAATTACCAAGGGATACCAAGGTTTTTACAATAGAGTTTAAAATTTTCTCATCATTTATTAACTCTTTAGGTGTCATTGTAGACTGGGATTCTCCTCTTTTAAGTTTGTAATTCATATTATTTTTTGGTAAATGTGGAAAAGAGCTTGTACTTTTTAATACATTAGAGTAGGTTTTTTTATTTGACTCTAGCTTTGCTAATTTAATAGGACAGGCCTTGGATATTGCTAAGTGGTCACCGCCACAATTACTGCACTTCAGTACCTCTGATGTGCAGTCCTTGTAGCAATGATCCTGAGCACACTTGGAGCATACCTGAACATTTCTGCAGACTTTGGCTGAGTGGTTAAATTTCATACACTTAAAACATTGCATTACTGGCGGAATGTACTCTGAAACCTTGTATCTCCAATTGTCTAAGAAAATATGCTGCGGCAGTCTTGTTCCTACAAAAGTCACAGAAATAGTAGTTAATGGTACTAACTCATTATCTATTTTTTTCATAAATCTCCGAACTGAAATTATTTCACTATCAGATGACAATTTTTGGTACAATTCAAAACAACTTGTTTCCTTAGGGATAAATCGGATGACCCCCACTCTCTCCACAGAGGATGCAGGGATATAGGCTCTCATATTATTTTCTTGCAGACATTCGTTGGTCAAAAAATTGTTAGCTGCAGCTGCTTGTTTGAACACAAACATTATTTTAGTAGCACTAACTCTGCGCCGTTCGTGTATTCCTTTTACGCCCTTAAATAGCTTTGATATGGTAAGAGGATTTTTATTTCCCAATTTTTCTTCCTTGCTCAGACTTTCAACGTAGACAGGGTATTCTTCAATTTCTTTATTAAGGTCAGAATATAATCTTTTGTAACCAGGTTTGGTGTAAAACTTAAAATTTGCC